CAAAGGTCAAGGTCACCACGTGAGTTAAAGGTTAATGGTTTCCGGATGATAACTTGACTCTGGCTGAGGGGTTTCAACAGCAACGCTGTTATTTTTAATAAATAATAACGTTTGCCAAAACTTGCAAATTTTCCCTCACCGTGTCTGCTAAAAGGTACCGTCTATATTTTAACATAAATCTTTAATGGTGCTCTGTCCATGAAAGTTCCATTGCCTGGTTCCCATTCTTCAGCTGCAAATGTAAAATGAAGTCGAAGGACGATATTTGCACCGCGAAATCGTAAAAACTTTTACGGGATCAAAATAAGCACAGCGCGTTAACAAAAATAAAACGGCACACCGTGTAAAGTGAATGGCGCCCCCAATCGCCAAACAGTAGACTTGCCTCAGTGAGTTGTGTTCTCCTTTCGGGGGAAGGGCAGGGTCTTAGAAATCATCATGCAGATAAAATAGTCTTTAATCAACTTGAACTTACAGGGAAAATATCAGACTTTATTCAGGGGGTGTTTTGGTCAAACATTAACTATGAATAAAAAAGTTGAGATCATTATAAAAACCACTTCCCGCATACCGCGATAATAGGGAGTCCACCTCCGTTCTCACACTCCGAGCATGTCTATTTTCACAGGCTTCGTACACGGAATAAACCATACCACCGTCGGAATTTTTTATATCAATTTGAAAAGGAAGAGTTATACTACACAAAAGACAGGACAATTCTGGAAGGTTAGTGGGGAATCTCTATTCCGAACGAGAAACGTGATAAGTACCGCGATAATATGGCAACCCATCCTACATGCCATTGCTTTTCTTTTTATGATTTTTTCAACAATTATCCTCTCATAGGAAATGTATTCTAAATGCCAAAAGGGCACATTGCGAGTGAAGGGGCTCCTTTAACAACATCAAGCCCGCGGGAACGAGCGGTGCTATGGGTGCTGCGCTTCGAAAGTCTAGCACAAACACTGTAAAATATCAAGAAGAAGTATTTTCTAAATCTTCAGGCACTGCAGAATCGATAGTTCTCTCAAGGTATCTAAAATCATGACATGTCTATGATATTTCCGCTATAATGGAAGCTTTGACCCGAAAGCAATAACCTTGGCCATGACAATGGTGGCAAAGTTGATTATGCTTGCCAGGATTTTTTCCATTCGATCTTTCAATAGGGGCAAAAGTTCATACCTTTCCCCTGAAGGTTTATCTTTTCATTTAAAAGTTTCATTGACGTTGCTAGCATTCTGCACTCAACATTAACAAATAGCAAGGTTCACACACATCCCCAACCTAAAAGTGGGATGGGCTTTCATTGTTGAAACTAGTTATGCTTTACGCCAATTCCAGTGTAGTTTCGTTTTAATAAAAAAAACTATTCAAGTTTTACCCTCGGCAAGTTTTTCCTCATAAAAACTCAGTAGACCGATAAATCCTTGCCTAGCCCCAAACTTGACATCTACCGATCATAAACATAAAGATGCATTTGGTCTTTTAGTCTTTTATATTCGCCATTCCCTGTAACAAACAAATAACACGGCAAATATATCGAGAGCTTCATCGTTTGGAATTATGTGAAATTTTTTTATGAACAGAAATTCATCCGCTTCCAGTGGAACCATTTGTTTTAACTTAAACAAAAAACAAGCCTTTTATAAGGTTTTATAAGTTTCAGTATACTTCAGTATATTTCATCACAGTGCCTCCAGAATCCAACATTTTCTGTGGCCCCACGCTGTAAGGGCTCGAAAAAAGAAAAAAAAATACATTTGTACACGACGGAATTTACTAAATGTAAGAAAGCAGCCTTGCAACAATAGTATTTACATGTGATGTCATGCATAATGATACAATTTTTTTCCAGAATTAAATGGAACCAAAAATGGAGATAAAAATACAGGGTTCTCCACTTTTCAGTACAGTTAAAAGTTTAAGAGCAACAGTATATTCTAAACAAAATAATGAAATAATTGTCTTTATATAGTCTTAAAAAACTTTTGCTAAAAAAGTCAAATGAAAGTGGCCAGGAATCGCCTCAGATTGCACCACAGAGCATCCATATTCCAAATTAAGCCACGACGTAAGGGCTTTGCGCTCCGCTTTCGTATTAATTTTGTCCGTCCTTTAGAAATTCCAGCACCCCCTGGCAAAAGTTTGTTCCAGCGGCAGTGAACAAGATATACATTTTGTAGTTTTGTAGCATAAATCCTGGAGAGCTACATGTAGAAGGGCAGAAGGGGAAGTACAAAATTTATCTCACCACCATTTATGAAGTTATTTCATACCGTATACGTAGATGTGCACATGTTCTTTATAAATGAATAATTTAATAGTCGTATTTTTGTCTATTTTGTTCGTAATGCAAATAACCAAAGATCTGTCTTTTCAGGAAGGTGCCCTTTTAAAAAAGCAGTTTTACACACAAGTTAACTTTTTACACATATGTACTGTATGCCTGAGCTATTGTACATTGTACATGGAGTGCATTGCACATGCAAACAGATTTCCATTTAAGGGTGTGGCCCTAGACAAGTGACCACACCTACATGTATGGCATTGGTGGATCAGTGTCCTCAAGGGATCAGTCAATTTCAAACATTGGAACATACCGGAATATAATTTTAATTTGTGAGCTCTTCGCCTGAAAGTATGTGATTGCTCTGGCCAGTCACCATTCATTTCAGTCACCATTCATTCATTTCAGAGTACGTACAATGTACACGTGTACATAAAGTATACAGTGTGTATACAGACGGTGTACAACAACATTGTATATTGAGGAGCAATACTGCCCTCTTTGGGTTGGTTTTGGGGAAAAAATGCTGCACAACACGAGCATTGAATGGTCCATTACAGTAATCAGTGTGCTGCATATTGAGCCATTTTTGTTTTGTCCATATTATAATATTCTAGTTCGTGCTTGTTCTTCTTGCAGTATGTATAGGCCCTAATTTAAACTAAAGTCCTTCAGAATTCATTAATTAAAGACAGTTTACCCATTCCTATAGGTCAAAAATCTAATTCTCAGTTGCATGCCTGACATTTAATATGTTCTTTCTTGTTGTATAATGATAAACATGCCATTAGTAGACAACTTTTGGTGGTCATGCTACTATGTAGTTAATGAACAAGTTTAGTATTCAAATATTTTTCCAGTGCTATGAATGAGATTGAGAAACAGTACCATGATGTGTAGATGGGCATTTTCCCACTAATGGGGTACAATTGACTGCAAATTTGGCATTCGAGAGGGGGACACTTGAGGGTACAGCAGAGCAAGATATTTTGTTCAGTTTTTTTTCCTAAACATTTTTCATGTGTACAAAAAATAAAGAGGACTTTGTCTGTACTTCAGAAATTACAGGGGTCATAATGTGGTCATCGTAAATAATTATGTTAATAACATGGACAGAATTTTTGATGACACTAAATTGTGCACTAATTATCATGTGCATGAATGTCATAACCCATCAGCAAAAAGAACACAATTTTTAGGGTGTGTAGTACATACATACATTTGTACATATGTATAAGACACTTACATACACATGTATAATATATGTGTAAAGACAACAAGCCATAGTCCCCTGAAGAAGGTGCACCGCACCGAAAGCTCGGGAGTAATTTTCCGGTTAGCACTGTAAATATTTTTTACTTCTTGTCATGCTCCACAGTGCTATGCAGCATCTCCACTTTTGTTACATGTACATGTAAGAACAATGTACGGTATGTACATTGTACATTTGTAACTTGTAAAATTGGTCTCAAAGCCTTTAATTCTTGGTGAGCACAATCCTCAACAGTGCGGTGGGAATGTACCGGTACAAGGGGAAAAGAGGACAAATAACTTGAGTTACTTTTCCAAATCACTCAGCTCCACATGAAAGCAAGTAGGCCTACATGTGCACGTAAAACTTGTGCAAAGAAAAATTGTGCAAAGAAAGACTCGCTGGTGTACAGACTGTTTACACTGTGTGGAGGAAGGATTTCAGATCTTCTTCCAGTCAAGAACGTGTTCTTTCCATTTTTATTCATGAGTGTACACTTTTGCACAGCCCAGTCTTTAAAGCAAACAAGGTATTGAATCTCAGCAACAATGAACAAGAGCATGCACCTGAGGCAAATACTTATCAGTACACATGTTCATTCACATGGGTAGGTGACACTAACAGACTAAGGTAATTTACATACGTGTACTTACATCACAGTACACAATGGTGTTCTCCAGAAAGTTAAGAGGCAACAATTAAATATTTAAAAAAAATGTGTGTACATATGTACATACATGTAGTCAATTTAATTTTTGTGAAGTCTGTAATTCCCCCCCCCCCCTAAAAAAAGTACAATGTACAGGGGTTACACTGTTCATATAACAACCTTTTGTCTTACAAATGTAATTGTAAAGTCTGTACATTTGGGGAAAAGGGGGAAAATTACAGACTTCACAAAAATGAAATTTGACTATACATACCTTTTGTTTTTAAACATTTAATAATTGCCTCTAACTTTCTTTACAATATATTGTGTTGCTGCAAAAATAATGCACAAATTACATGCATCACGTGTGCACACGCGCATTACACAAGTAGGTTTACATATGTAACTAGTTGGCTTAATGATGGAATTTGCCATTATGCATGTTGTTCTATGGTATATGGCATGCTGAACATGTCACTTCCACTGGACTAACTCTTGTCATTACAAAAGGTCAGAATGCTTTTCTCCAAATAATGTTATGTACATGTACACACATGTACAATGTACATTGTACCTATTGTACAGTGTGGGGGTGTACAGTTCTGTACAGTACTGGTACATCTGGCCACACCCCCTATGCATGTAGTTAACACATGTCAGATCAATTGGAGTTTTAACCATTGGACTCAGCAAGGTTCTTTTTTTAACCAAAGTCAACATATTTGAAGTGGTCGTGTATTATTTGCAAGCTGATAATCGTGTGCTGGTACATGTACATGTACACGCGCTAGTTCAAGCAGTTCATCATTTACGTACTGGGTGGCCGGGTTGGGTTTGTAGTTATCAGCACCCACATGTACATGAACTTTAGTCATCATCAATGGACGAGTATACCGTACAGGTGGTTTTTCATCCATTTGATAATTGTATGTGCATATTTTATTGATGGGTGTACATGTGTGCCATCATCTTTGAGAATACGGCTGAGAGATTGGCTGGCTAGTCTACCCCGCGATATCAGCGTTTCCTGATAACGCCTCTGTTGCTGGTACAATGTACGTACATTGTACGGGCGGGATGGTTACACCTGGATGCTTGGAAACGGGGATCGCTGGTTGAAATCACTGATCAGTGGGAAGATGCTGGTTGGGGTATAATATAACAGTCAGTGTCAAGGGCTTGTCACAGAGAGGCAGGACAGGATTTGTTCGGTCGGACCTTGCCAGACTATTTCTGATTCTGTAAACTTTTGTGTGCTTCGTAAACGTGCATTTACAGCATGCCAGTTATGAATGGAGGATCTGCATTATACAATATGGTAAGTCTAAAGTAGTTTTGGGCATTTGTTAGTTTGTTTGTTTTGTTTTTTCTTGGGGGTTGACAGACATGGGCACAATTGTTATATATTTTTTCAAAAACAACAAAAAAGCAGGGAAAATCATCACTGTACATAGTAAGACTGATTATCTATCTGCATTGTCTTCCGATGGCTTTAATGAAGTCATAGAAAATTGGAAGGTGTGTTTTGAAAAGTGTGCGAGGTTATTCAGATATTTTGTTGGTTTTTTCTTTTCACTTCATAATTGTACAGGAGATTCAGTGATGCAATGAGATTTAGACTTGCGTAATTTAAAAAAGAAATTATGATACTGTTTCAAGCCCTCTTTCTAAGCAGAGGGTCTTCAAAGTGTGTCATTGGAAAGACGGGGGGGAAAAAACATTTACCGGTATTAGTTCAATTGTATTTTTTTAACGTAGAGAAAACGTACATTTTGTACATACATTTGTACCAGTACATGCATGTAAGGCTTCACCTTTCCATTATCCAAAATCTGGAGATGACCTCAAATCCATATACATGTACATGTTCCTTTCATCACCATGTTCACACTTTGAAAATTTCAAAGCAACCCCAGCCAGGACCATGACTGGAAATTGCAAAACAAGGTTCTGTATGCATATTGTGTGCAATTTGTGTGACTTACCGGTGCATGCGTTTGTGGTATAAATCAAGGACACGCACGTACAACATCATCATGAATTGAGAACAGGAACCAAATCGAGGACTCCTCGGTTATAGAACCTGAACAAAACCAATGAGAGCTGTTGCAAAAAAGTTAGAGAAAAACAAAGGAAAAGGGAACAGGAACAATAGAAAATCCTTGATTTACACCATAAACAAACGTGTGTGTATGTACGTGTTCTACATAACCCCCGAGGACCAACACACAAATGGAGAATACTTACTGAACCAGCTATTTTTAGTCTGTAAAGTTGCCAGATCGAGGCTCTGCATGCCCAATGGCGGAGTGTGAAAAGAGCGAATGGTGATTTGATCTTACAAAACTGCCTCATAATTTTTCAAAATCCTTTAAAAAATAATAAATAATAAAACTCCACCCACACGAAACTGGATAAGTGTGACACTTTCTCAAATTAATACTGGACAATCACAAACCCACGTGTTCGATACTATTGTTTCAGTGTACTGGCAGTGCTCAGCAGTATTAGTGGTTACTATAGTTGCGAATGGTCAACTTGTCGCGACTTTTTATCAATAGTCGCCATGGCTATTGAAATTCAATAGCTGTACACACCTACCGGTAGTACATACCCCAGGTACTGTATACAAAAAACTTGCATGCTGCAAGTATACGAGGTGAGATTTAGGAGTGCAAGTGGTTTCAGTCAGTAGCCTATCCCCTATCTACATACCCTAAACAGTATTTTCTTTTCTTTAATAGGACCCTTCCAAAATCTGGAAAAAATCCAAATGACATATTTGTGACCTGTTCTGTCAAAATCAGACTTTTCTGGGCAGAAGGTGAAAAATGATATTTTTGCATATTGTTAAAATATGTTCTTTTTCCTTTTAATAGGTGGTTTAATTTTTGAAACCGGTCATTCCTGGGCAGAGTTATGCTATTTTGAAGTTCATTGTGTCGGAAAGTAGAAAACGGAGCAAATGGCCACTAACGTCACAAAACAGTCATTTCTTATACCTTATACCTTAACAAATATACCTTAACAAATCATCAAAAATATCTAGAGTTCAAATTCGGGTTTCAAACTTTTATAGTATATTTTAGACATGTTCAGGATTACAAATATGCAAAAATTTCAACCTCTGCCCAGAAGCGTCTGCTTTTGACAGAACAGGTCACATTTTAGCACTTCTTTCTTTCGGACTTCTTTCAAATGCCATGGAAAATTATGGCACCAGGGATCTGCACTCTGTACTCTGAAAAAAAAACACTGACCAGTATGTTCTTACATGTAGTTTTAAATTCTCGTTCTCAATTTTTTTTTTTAAAGTTGTTGGATACATTAACCATGATGTTTGATTATAAAGTATTGCTCTGAGAAACAGCAACAAAAATTACTTTATCTGTCAGCTAGTAAAATTTCCTATCATAAACATGTCTGCGAAACTGTCGTCATCGTGCTAACAACTGCATAATATGTAGGCCTACTTATTGTTGTAACAATACTTTGATTGCTGCCTTTGTGTGTCCAAAAAATGCAAATTGGAATTTCACTGATGACGTCACTCACTCAACTATGCATTATGTATGTATTGAACCACTCAGGCAGTACATTAAAAATAAAAATAGTTGGTAGGGTTGAGAGAGCATTGGCATCCGGCCTCCTTGACAATGCATTTGTGGTGAAAGGCCAGTAAGGGTACACGTTGTATAGCCCATATGCATGACAGTTTTGGCACAACCATACACAAGCATTCAGTCTTCATGACATTGCTTCTCTCATTGCTTGCATGTATCATTTAATACTGATAATTTGTTTGTTTTAGGTCCTACACATGTATAGTACACATTCTTTTTAACCCTAACGCCTTGGGCTCTTTTTACTAGAAAGTATTTCTTTCAACTTAGGCTGTGGGTGATTATATGTACACTATGATGTGTGCAAAAATATTTCGAGCATTAATATCTTCTTTCAATGGATTATTATATCTTACTTTTATGTAGTTTATGAATGGAGGTGGCGATCCCAGCATTGCTTTGTCTGGATCGCTTATTTACATAATCCATAAATATGTTGAGGCCTAATAAGCCCAAGCATTGCTTTGTCTGGATGGCTTATTTACATAATCCATACATATGTTGAGGCCTAATAAGCCCCAGTCACAAGCTCCCATTCCCCCAGTATGTACATTTTTGTACAGCATGTGAAAGACTTGGGCAGGGCTACAAGCAGTATTTACTTGACCACATAGCCAAAGAGTTAAAGTGTTGAAATCCTGAATCCATCAAAGTCCTCCAACAGCTCAATATAGAGGTATCCTGATTCCATCAAAATCCGCCCTGCAGTTCCGCTAGGCTTACAATCCTGAATCCATCAAAATCCCACAGTTTGTTCCATAGGGACTAGGGAGGTATCCTGAGTCCGCCAAAATTCCCTGAACAGGGGTGTAGATTTTGATGGATTCCGATCTGTGCATGTACGTTAGGGTTTTTGTAATACATACATTGTACGTACATGTACAGTACAGAGCAACATGCGTACATGTGTACATGTACACGTACACGTATGTACTTTCTACAGGTACATGGCATGCAATGGGGTCGTATGAAACATGAATGAAAACTAGCAAATGCTAGAAAGTGTATTAAGCAAAAAGTTAAACGATTTACTTTGGAGTAAAAGCATTAAAGAAAAGCAAATGCTTGATTTTGTATGAATAAAAGTTTTCCTTTACTGTTCAGCATTTACCATGTTTACCAGACAAATGCTTCTTACTGTTGGATTGTTTTCATGGATGAATTGTTGTCAACACTAGGGTCTCTTTTGTGTACAAACTGCCACACATACATGTACGTAGGGTAATAATAGTCCAAATCAAAGTGATGCATACAGTACGTGTAGTACATTTGATCCTCAAATCCAGCCAAAATGATGAAAACATTTTGTTAAGCCCCCAGGGTTCCATTGGATAAAATTTCTCCTTAATCATTCTATGGCGCACTGAATTGTACACTAACTCTTCGCATATCGTGAACAAAATGCGAAATTATTGTTTCTTCTAGTAATGGAATTAATAATAAAAAAAAGTGAAAATTTTGCATAAGTGTATTCGATAAAAAGTGTATTGTATTACCCGGTATATGTTGTTTTTAACGTTTTGTGTTAATTTTGGCGTGAATAATATTAATAAATGCAGCAATTTTTGCTTTATATTCTCAAGGTAGCCCCAACCCAGCCTTGAAAAATGACCAGTTAATACTTCAAATCTGAAGCATTTAAATACTCCTTTTTATTCATACGAAATGAAGTAAACACTTCTAGTCTAGCAGAAGCTAAAAAGTTAAAAGTAAATACTTCTAGTTTTTAGCAAATGCTTTCCAGTAAAAGCATTTGCTTCATTTTTCTACATACAAATGCAAGTAACTTAAAAATCGGCAGTAAAAGCAAATGCTAGTTTTTGACCCATTGTGTAAGTCTCTGCCAGTGTTGGATTACTCTGATTTCATTTTTGTGTGTGTGCACACAATCAGTCAATACACTTTATAGTAAATGCACCAGAAATTCCTTTAACCGTTTGTTTTACAGGTTGGCAGTGGATGATGCTCATTTCCATTGCTACTACATTTTCACCAAGTTCACTGTAACTTCAAGAATGTTCCCAGAACTGCTTTTAGGTTTCTTTAATAGTTTGAGTAAATCGTACTCATTCTCAACCATCAAACAAGGCCGTCAGAGCTCCCCCTTTAACCCTAACAACCCTGAGCCCATCAAGCTCCAACAGCGGGTTTTGCTTGATTTTGGCAGGGTTGGTACCGAACACTGGCCAGTTGGTGTTGGACTTTGATTGACTGGGTACCAAAGGCCCAGGGAGACCCTGTTGAATTTTGTGAGGTTCGGGGCAGAAGGGCATGAGATTTGTGAACACGTTGGAGTTTGAGGGAGTTCACTGGCATTTCTTCGTGGGTATGCTCACCCACTGTCCTCAGCACAGCTTGTGGTCAAATGTGCATGTACATGGGAGTTCACAGGCATTTCTTCGTGGGTACGCTCACCCACGGACCCCAGTACAGTTCCTGGTCAAATATATTGCTTTATTTTGTTAGGTTTGGTACCATCCCTATCCAATCACTCGACAATACATACCTGTAGGCCCATCCATACCAAGTCAATCAAACTCCAACAGTTGGAGTTTGGCAGGTTTAGTACTGTTCCCCCTACAAGGCCTGTTGGAGTTTGGCAGTTTTGGTACCAGTGCTTACAGACCTGTATGCAGCTGTTGAAATTTGTTAGGTTTGGTATCCTTTCTAGTGCAAGAGCCTAGGGGGTTAGGGTTAAAGCTATAGTCCATCATTTGTAATTTGTGCATTTTGTTCGTTTGAAGCAACGAAAGTGCTCAACATCTAAAGAAGGGTACTGAACAACTAACCTAATGAAGTTTCAGCTCAGCTTCAGCTGTATATTCCGAGAAAAACAGCATTCTAGGATCTCAATTTCAAATCAAAAGTTGCTGAATCATGTTTTGAATTGCGCCTGAATTCAGCGTCCGAGACACGTTTTCGCTGAGCCGATTGCAGCTACGCGATGTTGCGCAGCGATCCGACAAATTATAGCAGCCGCGCGCGCGTGTGCGTCGTGCCAATGATTGCGCGCGCTTCGCCGAATAACAAAACGAACTACTAATTTAAATTTTCCTACGGTGCGTCTTAAGAAGTACCGTTGGAAAGGCCTTCTTTCGTTGATTACTTCAAAATGACAGCTTGCCAGAAAGAATAATTTCACAAGGAGTTTAGTCCCCTTACTATCTTTCAACCAAGTATGTTTTTCAACAATAATTACGCCAGCTACTTTTCGGATAGCTACAAATGATGGACTATAGCTTTAATGTAAAGCACCAAGGATCCTGACTATTACGATAACATTTCCTCTTTTCCCCCATTTTTGAACAGGGAGGGCTGAGGCGGAGCAGCAGTCAGCTAGAGTTCCATACCCAGGGCCGGAGGGATGCCCAGCGGGCGCTATGGAAAGAGCTGGACAAACTCAAGGAAATAGCACCCATGAAAGAGGTGAGATGTTCTTCTAAATGGACAACTGTTTCCATTCTTACACTTTAACCCTAACTCCCTAGTTTAGTTTTACGTGAACAGTTGTATTATGACAGTTATTAATTTTGTTTGGTTGTGTACAGATTGTATCTAAGGAATTTGAAGGCTTCAAGGAACTGTTCAGTCGTTTCTTGGCGGAAACTGGACCGTCGGTTCGCTGGGAGGACATCCAACCATTATCTGAAGATGCTGTGAGTTCCAAGAAAATTTATGATTTTGGTCTGTCGTCAGTCATTTGATACAACTCATTCAGTTTTGAGAATGATGACCCTCCCAAGTTCACAAAAATCCAGCACTATGGATTGCTTAATTGTGATAGAGATAACACTGAATTCCCCAGCAAGAAATTCAAGATTACATTAATTCTATTACATGTATCAGTACGCACATATCATATTCCTTGATGAGCACATTTTTCAAATACGTGTACTAAGAACATGTACATGTAACATTATTCAGAATAGCTGTCGTGGAGTATTTGCTTCGACCAATAGCTAATAGTGGAGTGCGGCCTAGTGGTGAGGGTTTGTGACTCGTGATCAGAGGGTCAGGGGTTCAAATCCAGCTGCTGGTCATATGTTGTGTCCTTGGGCAAGCCACTTCATCTCCACTTGCCTCTTTCCACCCAGGCGTACTGTATGAATGGGAACCGGCATTAGCTGGGGAATAAACTGCAATGGACCAGCATCCCATCCAGGGGAAATAGAAATATTTTACACTCCTTTCATTCTACTGCAACCGGAGATAAACACGGGCCTGATGGGCCACATTGGCTCGTGACAGACGTTACCTCTTACATTATAGCTAAAACAGTTCTTTTACCATTACTGCAGCCCTATATTTGCCTGGATTTGTCTGAAAATAACCGAGCGAGGTTTCGGAAATGATTATTGGCTCAAAAGTCAGGGGTAATAGTTATTCTGGAGCACTGCTTTCCTCTTTACATGTGTTCTTTAGGTTATGCCCTATGATAAGCTCGAGAAGCACAACCCAGAGTCAGTCAGGGAACTACTGGACAAGCTCGTGGTGGTCAAGTTGAATGGAGGGCTTGGTACCAGTATGGGTTGCAAGGGCCCAAAGAGTGTCATCAGTGTCCGCAATGATGTCACTTTCCTGGACCTCGCTGTCCAACAGATCGAGGTAAGACTCGGACCCTGTCCAAAATTAGCATGTGTTGTCTACGGCTATGATTATTTACTGCAAAGTATCGATGTCAAATACCGAAGCCGCATCCAGAAACATCTGATTTACACACAGCCGTACTCCTGTAAAAGCAGAAGTTAGTAAAGGATTTCAAGTTGGTTTAGGTTTTCTTGAGGAAGTCTGATTGTCCGTGCTGCCTTTTTGGGTTTAAATTGGCGACTCACAGAAATATGTTTTCCAAGTGCAACATGTGTAAAGCAAATTACTCATTCCTATTGCAATGTACATGTAGCCACTCACAAGGCGTTAATTACTGAACATTTTTATAGAATCCTTAACGACATGTGTTGTTATTTTGTCAAACAGACTTTTTCAGCTGGTTTTGTAAATTAATACATTGTGATTCACTGGAAATTGAATAGATATTTAATACTGAAGATTGAAAGTATTGCAAAGTAAATATGGAAAATATTTCAACTTCTGTTCAATCGTGCATATGGATACTTCATTTTGGGTAAAGGAGACTGGCTTTATTTGTTAGCTAGACACTCACAGAAAAAGGTAACAAGGATCTAAGCATTACTCTCTCGCTTTATCCACAAGAAGGTTCATTCAGTTACGCCCTTGGTTCTTGTTCTGTACAGCATCTGAACAAGACCTATGGCAGTAGTGTTCCTTTGGTCCTGATGAATTCATTCAACACACACGAGGACACCAAAGCTGTGCTGAATTGCTACAGCTCCTGCAAGGTCGACATCCACACCTTTATGCAGAGGAGGTGAGTGGCTGTCCCGAGACTTCATGCTGGCTGTAGTCCTCATCCAAGCCTGGATCGGATTTTATTCCCCCAATTCAGCGGCCGTCCCTGACCTGCTTCTCCACCAGCCGAGTTCTGTTTTAAACCTGTCGAGATTCCCATAACCCTAACAGACCTCAACCCATCAAATTCCAATGGCATATTTTGTTGGAATCTGTCAGTACCCCTAAACTGACAGTCTAAACATGACCAATATTGAAGCCACAGTTTTCAGGGATTTTTGGGAAAATTGGGAAAATTTCATTCACTAAAGAAATACACATACGCGTGAATATGTACATGTGCAACCCCAATACACACTACAGGGTGTCCCAAAGAAAATGCTCCACTCTCCTTTTTTTACAAATTCAAGCAAACCTGAATGCATTAATGTTCTTATTATGCATGGTAAGAATGCTATGTGTCTTGGTTGTTATCTACCAAAAAAATTGGATCATACTGTCAATCCACTAGGGACAGAAATGCTTAAATATGAACTCGCCTCCGTTTGCCAACTGCGCTTGGGACTCAAATCACCAATTTTAAAATGTCGATTTTTGTCAAGTGTGCTTTTCAAAAATTCTACTTGGTATCTATTATGAAAGACCAGTCATCAGTCGTTATCAAGCATACAAGAGAAAACCAACCAACCATGGCATTGTCCATTTGTTGGACTTTGACTAAAAATACCTATTTGTAAATCAACCACACGTAACAATTGTGAACAATGCATAATAAGAAAATGTATGCATTCAGGTTTGCTTGAATTTGTAAAAAAAAAAGGAGAGTGGAGCATTTTTGGGGGGGACACCCTGTAATTCTAGAACAGTGATTGATGAATTTAATTTTTTTTTAACACAAAGGATTTTTGTTGAATGCATGGTTTTGCAAATTGTTCACGGTGTTTTTGAATGTGCACACAGTGTATACATACAGGTACATGTACGTACATGTATATAAATACATGAGTATACATGAATATACACGTGCATAACATATACATGTACGCAAATGCTGAGCTCAATGCATGTTGTGTTTGTTAAACTGATGACAAATGTTCGTGTAGATAATTAATGTGTACCACATAATGTTGAGTGCATCATTATTTTGGTCTGTACAGGTATCCAAGAATTAACAAGGAAACACTGTTACCAACTGCCAAGACATGCTCCATGGATGGAACCAACCTAGAACAGTAAGTAGACTGGAAGCAAGTCTAGTCCCATCTAATTAGATTACACACAGGTTGCTATAGCAACACCAAGCAGCGGCAAGTTAATATTTTCCTTGGTTCGATAGCTAGGCTGGGAGAAAAGTGCACTGTGTGTGCGTGCTCTTTTCTTGATTGAATGAATGTGGCATTTCCACCACAGACATAATCAATTGGGGTGTCTTACAACGGCAAATAAATGAGCGTCGTGCATTGTAAGTATACCTTGGCAATGAGCTAATCAGATCTGCTACACACTGTGTGGAATATGAGCATCGTGTTATTTTTGTCATTTCTGTGCATTTTTCATTTTACCCAAAATTACAACTTATGGGTACAACAAATTTGGATGGGTAGTATTTTTGTAATTATTGTAAAAAAAAAAAAAGAGCTCAAATACCGCATTGATTTTCCATTCTGTAAAATTCAATACAATTTATCTGTAACAAGAAAGGAATGGCAAACCCCATCCATCGTATGCAGCAACTGTGATAATGAAATTTTATGTCCATAATTGATGAGTGCAAAAACGATGACACGCAGTATCGTTTAGAACATATTCAACAATCGGCAGGTCTATTAAATTAATAGATATGACCACCTGTTTTTAATAAGGGAATAAATGTGTGGTCAGGAGGTATTATAACACTCTGTTTAAGACCGGTGGGAGTCTGGATGGGTGATAATTACCCAAAGCGAAGCCAAGGGTAATTATCACCCATCCAGACTCACACCGGTCTTAAACAGAGTGTTTAATACCGACCGGACACATATTTATTCCCATTCATAAATACCTTTTCGGTCCAAAAAAAAAATCTTTTCGGTCCAAAAATTAAAACATGTCAAAAACTAGACTTTGCCAACCATTTTGTTCAACAATTTTACTTCATGTTTTACGAAACACCCCTCTGACTATAATATGAAATGCCCCTCCACAACTCGTTACCTTATAAGGACATTGGCGTGCGCGTCGCGCGTACTGCGCGATGTCGCGCATAATGGGAGGGAGGTGTTATAATCAAGATCAAAAATTTAAGAAAGCCAGTTCCACGGACCGTAGCCAAATGTAATGTAAAATGTAAAATGAAAAATTGGAATGTAAAATGTGTAGTTTTCTTGTTTGTTTATGTTTGTTTGTTTGTAGGTTGTTTGTTTGTTTTTCTCTCTCCCTAGTTTAACAGCAGGCGAGACAAGAAGAAAAGAGCATGATTACAGGTCACACAAAACTGGGGAAAATTTTTAACAAAAATGGTTTCAGTATTGTATTTCTCTGTATTGAAAATAGTATCTGATCTCATTGAATGGAAATGATTATACCACTCCTGAATAAATCCCCGTCATCTGATAGGTGGATCGTTGATCACTTGTCATAGAATTATTCGTCCAAATGCACAGCACAGCTGCACTGCAAAAATAGAAGTTCCATTCCACGGTAAATAGAATTTCCTTTGCACAGTCATACAGCTCTAATAACTACTCTGATGCTGTACATTTATATATAGTACCAGTTTGCAAAACAAAATTTTTTTTTAAATTAAAAACCTCAAATTTTTCCTTAGTTTCCCAGTATTTTTGAATGCAGAAAGTACTAAATAGAATGCACAGAGATGAAAACGGAAATAAGATTCTCATGCAAATAATCCTTATACCCAAACCGACTGATAAATTGAATGATCATTTCAGCCGAATGACATATCTTCAACTTAGGATGTGTTAAACATGAAAATGTCAGGTCTGACAATGAATTTGAACGTACATGTAAATCTAATATGAATAGCAAATCGGCCACTATGAAGATAATAATAATAATAATAAGACAGTCTTATATAGCGCAAAACATAACCCAGGGAAATCTCAATGCGCTTAACAAAGCAAACATAGGTAAGCAAAAATTACAGTGAATGAGAGTAGGCCAATTGAAACAGATGGGATTTGAGGTTAGATTTGAAGTTGTCTATGGTTGGAGCTGTTCGAAGTGGGGATGGAAGGGCATTCCACAACTTGAATGCTGTTTTTGCGAAATTGGCCGATAAAAACCTGTACATTAAAACATCCCTTTCTCATCATTTCCCTTCCAGCTGGTATCCGCCAGGCCACGGTGACATCTACCAGTCATTCTATGACTCGGAATTGCTAGAATCCTTCATCAGGCAGGGCAAGGAGTACATGTTCATCTCAAATATTGACAATCTTGGTGCCACCGTCGACCTCAGTATCCTTGCCATTTTAGCACACATCGATAATAAAATTGAAAGAGGTACTCTCTGACCTCTTAAAAAAAACTGATTTCTTCTCCTGATGAATTTCCAACTTGATTTGTGTTATTTTGTATGAAAAGTCAGAAAAATCTGTTATTTTGGAGTGCTTTTTCCACTTAAACAGATCTGCTGCTGCAGCCTTGCGAGTAGACTCCAATCATTCTGATTAGAGCAAGAACCAGTCTACCCTATGAGAACTGAAGATAACTGTTTCGTTTGTTTCCCTAGTTTTCCCCTAATATTTTTTTTAATTTGATGTCTCATTCAAAGGTGAATTACTTTGATCTTGCTAACAAATAGCAATCCAAAAAGAAAGTCCGGGTCTTTTGTGGTGAAACTCAAAAATAGCACTGACAGTTCTTTAAAGCAGGGCTCAAAATAAACCTGAGTGGGCCACTAAGGCCAAAAAAAAAAGTCTCCGGTTTCTGGTATGCGCGTGCGTCGCCCTAGCCATGCGCGTCGGTAAAATGAAAAAGGTTTTTTTTTCAATGAAAGATGATGTCTCAAAACCGCCAAACTCACTGGTTTGACTGGAATCCCGCTGCTGCACAATTTTAACATGTTTTTAGATTGGGTTATGGTCGAGAATAAGGTTTATGTGGCCTCTCTGGACTCCCATATATTTGCACTAAGTTTAGTCGGGCACCATTTGCAGTCATCAGCCGACATTTGAAGCAAAAAATCAGGTAAAAAAAAACTTTTTGGGGAAGCTCCATACCAGAAACCGGAGACTTTTTTTTTTGGGCCTAATGTACTGAGCATAATGATATCAGTGTTGGCCAAGAACTCTCTGTGACCAAAGTACTGTGAAATGGTCCGTACAAAGTCCCATACAGCATCCCATTTGACAAGGTCAGATGTTTCACTTTGTGAACGCACGATATATGAATGGGAATTAGGTCAATTCCATATTAATGGGCCAATTAGATTAGGTTTTATGGATGTTGCATATAAAGTGTGAAAGATGAGCTAGTATTTTTTTCTATACCTTGCTTAGTTGGAAGTGACTAGGGCAGGAAAAGACAAAAGATGGTATATTTTTTATTTGAGAAAATAACAGGTATTTTTTACGTGTTAAATGTATGTAACATGGACAGACACACTGCAGGGAAAAGGGTGCTTAGGATATATTAAGTTTCAAATCAGTTATATCCTTCGCAGGTGAGGATATTTGTTCGAAGCTTGCAGCGTTTACAGCAAAAATTGGAACACCAAGATCTTAGTTTTATTATCAAAACTCAAAGGCCTTCACAAATGTCACACTTTTGGGCCCATTAGTGTGGAATTGCCCATTTTCGTTCCACTTTTTGGATATATGGCAATGAATAATGGCTTGCCAAATATTGACTGTGCATGTATTTCTTTGCGTCATAATTTATACTGCAAATGTGGAGCCGCGGGAATTTGACAAGAGTGGGACTTGAACTTCCAACAGAAGAATCAGGACAACAAAGAATCTGTTGTTCTCCCTTTGTCTGTCTGTCCTTGGGGTGTATGTAGTGCACGTACAAAGGGAAACACAAAGCCTTGTCCTCGATAGTATAGTAAAACACGACTGGGTGTGTGTGTGTGTTCACAAGTTGATCGGTCACGTTAGATCGCACGCTAAGTGCACCGCCTCATGGCACAGTCGCCTCCCTGGCATAGCGGGCGAGGCAAAGCCTTGTTAGGCCAAAAAAAAAAATAAGTCGGTCTCTGGTCAGCGCGCGCGTCGATTTTAATCATGCGCGTCAATCTTTTTTTTTCTCCAAAATGTTCCGCGGTAGCTCCAACAGCGCACCTCCTCAATTTTTTTTACCAAAGAGCACAAGGAATGGGAAATTGCACCAAGGCAAATGATCGAGATCACGAAGGCAAATTATGGAGGACACCAATGTACATGAGGACACCAAATAGCAAAATAGTACCCCACCTTGTCTGTACAATCCAAGCTTGAAGAAGAAAACAAAAGCCAAAAAAAAAAAAAAGCCGCGTCCCCGCGTCAATTCCGGAACTTTGGTCTGACCAGAGACCGAATATTTTTTGGGGGGGCCTTACATAAGCAAAATTGTTTTTGAGGTGGAGTGGATGTAATAATTCACATTGAACGTTAAAATATGTAATAACACCACCAATATGGAACAACAACACTGACTAAATGATATAAATCCATTACTTTCTATTGCTGTTTCAAATCAGAATACAGGAAGCAAGTATCCCATCCAGGGGTTTACTATTGAAACGAGGTTGAAAACAAAGTAACCCATTGCACGGGGAGGAGGTTGCTGCCTCCCCTTCCCCCTTCGGCAGCGAGTCATGCAGCATTGTTATTCTAGTTTGCTCTCACATTGCCAACAGCTGGGGAACTTGTCATGTGCAAATAAAGTCTATTATTGAACTGTTTTCAATTATTTGTTAATATGAGCATAACCATCTGTTGAATGTGTCAATAGCACACATTGAAAGATGCAGTTTTGTAAAAACAGGACAACTTTTTAAACATATGTTGACGCAGCTTGCTTGTCTTGTATTGATTATGGGTTTCATTTCTCAGGATATATGTGTGCACTCATAAGCGTTGTACAACATGTACATGTAGGTGTTAAATAGCAGACCTGACTATAATTTACATGTTTTCAAATTTGCAAAAATTTACAAATAAGTGACACCTATTCTGGTGTGTTGATGGTGTTGATGGTGGTGATGAGGTACATTAATATATTGATTTTTATCTTGGCATTTACAAAGCTGACCCTACAGCCAGGCATACCCTGATCGCCTTCCATCACCCCCATCCCCAACCCTACCTTCAGCCTCCCCCCCCCCCCCCCCCCTCAGGCACGAGCCATGGCAGCTTCGTCGTTCTAGTTTTCTCTCGTTCCCAACAGCTCGGGAACTTGTCTTAGGCAAAAAAAAATATGTGTGTACTATTTTCAATGCTTTGTTTATATTAGCAGCACCATCTGTTAAATGTGCCAATAGCAAACACATTGAAAGTGCAGTTTTGTTAAAATATGACAATTTTGTAACAGCTGTTGATGCCTTCCTTAATAATGCCTTCCACAGAAATTCTGAATTTATTGGTAAAACAGAAGAATCGAGATTTTGTGATGGAGGTAACTGATAAAACGAGAGCAGACATCAAGGTGGGTTTTCATTTCACGCTGGACTGGACGCTGATATATCAGCGACTAGGCCCCAAGCCGGTCTTAAACGTACCTGTTTAATACCCGCCTAGCACATATTTATTCCCATTCATTAAATACCATTTCGGTCCAAAAGTCAAAACAATTAAAAAATTATAAATTTCAAATGATTCTGTTCAACAGTTTTACTCCATGTAAGTTTATTAAACATGCCTCATCTAACTTTGTTATGGTATATGCCTCTCTTGAGTAGTCGTAAACATTTTATAAGACATCTCCTTTAATATATGGAGATATATGTGGCGCAGAATGCAGCTGTGCTGTTGAAGTGTGAATTTATGACACTCGGAATACGGACTCATTGGTAGTATTGCGCATGCCTAAGTGAAGATTGTGAAGATTCACAACGAAAGAAAGTGTTTAAGACCAGCCAGTCGGTGTTTTGTCAACTGTTTAAAACCACCCACGTGACAGGCTCTCGACCAATAGGAATGGGTCAACTGCCTTAGGTATTTATGAATGTGTAAAACTATTGTGAAATTTGATCCCAGATTTCCGTTGGAAGCATGTAAAAAAAACTTGAAAAAGTGTTGTAACCATGAAAAGTATTTATGAGTTTGCCTCTGATGATGTGCTTTCTTGTGAAAACATCCAATGTGACCGGCCATTTCATATAAATCGAAGCCTGCACTATATTTTCACATAAACCTCCCACTGTACTATGAAAAGAATTGAACCATTGTGCACAGTGCAGATAATGAGCTCATACCTGCATACACGGCAGTATATTTATTTGTGTGTGTTCTGTTTGCTTTTGTGAGCTATTGTGATAGACCTTTGGCTTTTCCAAAAATAACCTTGTTGGCTGCTACCGGTATATAGACTTGCCTGTAGTTTTATCTGTAAACCTTTTAACTTTTTGAAGTACCACACATCTTTCCAGGGGTTTGGGGTCTATTTTTTTTTGGGGGGGGGGAGTTGCTTTTTTCAAATCTCGGTGTTTAATTATACAGCACTTCCTGATAACTGACATGAATGATCCTACATCTTATTTCTTTTTAAAGTGTCTCTTTCATGGTTGTACAAAATATTCCTGGGGGGACAATAGTGGACAGGGAGGTACATATGAATTTACACACGATGAGATTGGTCGGGATTTTTCTAGATTTCAGGAATTTTTGTGGGGATTTTTCCTGGAATCAGAATTTATATAGAAACCCCTTTGAAACCTGGAATTCCTGATGTTTTTACTGTAAAGGTGTTTTTAACTATAAAAGTTTATATCAAACAAAAAGAATATTGTAGGGGATGCCTTTGTGCAGATACAATACCATAAACCCCATGTTGCTTTTGGGCCCTCAGCAGCCCTCAATCCCTCTGTCGATTATTGTTTTGTGGGTTTTTCATTATCCCCAATCACACCAGGGCGGGGAGTGTGGCCTAGTGGTTAGGATGTGTGACTCATGATCAGAGGGTCAGGGGTTCGAATCCAGCTGCTGGCCATACGTTGTGTCCTTGGGCAAGCTACTTCATCCCAAATTGCCTCTCTCCGCCACCCAGGAGTATAAATGGGTACTGGCATTAGCTGGGGAGTAACCTGCGATGGACTGGCATCCCATCCAGGGGAGTAATAATATTCTCAGTCGTTTCATGCTACTGAAGTGGGAGATAAACGCTGGCCTAATGGGCCATATTGGCTCGTGACAGACTTTATTTACAATCTCGCCCCTGCACAACAAGACCACACAGAGTGAGGACCCATCAAAAGTTCAACCCATCAACTATTCACTCGGGCAGACTTTCCCCTTTTCATTTAAAAAAAGTTAACTGCCCTTTGTTTTGCTGTGCCAGGGCGGGACATTAATCCAGTACGAAGACAAGTTGAGGCTACTTGAAATTGCCCAGGTGCCAAAGGAACATGTAAGTAGTATTATGCTTTTCAAAAAAAAGTATTGCAAAGATACTGGATGTATTGAAGAAAGTGCATGGGTACTTAACTCAGTTCACAATCTTTCATGTGATTTTGTTTTTTACACCAACATATTTTGTATTGTTACATTTCATACAAAAAGGTAACAATGATAAGTGATGTAGCAATTCTTGAAACTACTTTTGTCTTGGAGAAAGCGATTTCAATTCAGCTATAACTATATGATACAGTTTGATATGTTGCTGCTGACAAAAGTACTTGGAATAGCTGATAGATTAACAGAAAAGTTCATTTTTCCTTTCCATGCAGGTGGATGAGTTCAAATCTGTTTCCAAGTTCAAGTAAGTAGTTATAGGCAAGTGAGTTAATAAAGGAGTTTTACAGCAATCCTCAGAAATTCTCACAACATTTTTTTTAAATTACTAGAGACCTCGCACAAACTCAATTAGTCCCCACTAATCCTACAAAATCAACTATATATAAGAGGTTTTGATGGTTTTTGCAGGATTGAGGAAAGTACAGCTCAGCCATTATGGGTGCTCGATGTTTAAATACAAAACGGATGCCTGCACGGATGGGATTTGAGAAGGGTCCTAGCTTGTAAAGTTAAGGTTCAATAAAACAGGAATGGCAAACGTTTTTCTTGACAAAAGGGCCAATGTCAAATTTGAGCATCACTGACAATGTTTGCCATGAACTATATTGGAAATTGAAATTGCAGCACTTTTTTGTTGAGTTTGAGCAAGTACGTGTGCATATATATTTGTACATTTACCAAATGCTTGGCCAGCTGTTTTATCTCCGTTAATATTAGCTTTCGCTTTTTACTTCTGTAGTTCACTGAGTTTCTTTAGCTGATTTCTTCCGGCTTCAAAAGTAAAAATAAAAGTATCAGAGTGCATACATCCTGTGAGTGATCTGTTGCATATAGAGCAAACACATGAAAGAAAGATTTGTATAAAAGGAATATGGGGATGCGTATTTCTTATATATGTCCATAAATCTGTGTTTTTTGCAGGATTTTCAACACCAACAATCTCTGGGTCAAGCTTTCCTCCATCAAGAGGCTGATAGATGAGAAAATGATGGACATGGAAGTCATTGTCAATAACAAGGTTTGTCTCGTTGTCTGGAGTGCATGGTTTTAAACCATTGTTGTGGGATGTACATTGAGTCCGACAATTGCCTGATTTCAGACTTTTTTCAAATAGTAAAGAACATATTGGTACCATGCTAGTGTCTATACTTTTCCTTTGTACCTCCTACATGTATTTTAGGCAAAAATGTCGGAGTCCACTTACACCCCTGCTTATTTTATGCAGAGCAGGTATATCTCAGTGGGTGCCGGCTAATTTAGTTACAGTGAATGCACAAAGAGTTGTGCTAAACTCTTTCCCTTTAATACTGCAATAATGCATTAGGCCTATCATGCGTTGCATTTCATGCATCAGCCGATACAAAAACACGCAGGGGATGGAACTTATTACCAATAAACATGCAGACGATGGATATTGTTATACCACGGTAATAGATTGTGAATTTTTATTGGTCAAGAGTGGATCACGTGACATGGCCGTGGTACATGAGTGATGTACCCTCACGGGGTACATTACCTTCATCTTTCCCGCTTTTGAAAAGTGTCCTTCCACCGCGTTGTATTAATTAAGTGTACTGGTGACCTCGGGTACGAGGTTGTAGCTACGCTGGTACTACGTAAATTGATGTATGTTCCTATGAGATGTGCCATGGGGGACATTGAAGCACTATTTCTGCTACAACCGCCATTGTTTTTTACATCGTTCATCACTGTTCGTCTGTTTTTTTTAACTTGGCCATAATTTGACCATAATAATGTCGGCAGATGACAACAGGTCGCCTCCAGAGAAGATGTTTCTCTCTTGTTCCAAAGACAAGATCAGAAATTTGATTTTTGAACAGGACAGCATAAGCACAAAGAAAAATGGCAAATGGCACCTGAGGCAAACTCGGCTTTGCCTCGGGTGCCATTTGCCCCTCGGGTGTACAAAACACCATGGATCCTGTCACAGCAGGCAACAATTGAACAGTGGCTTACGTGTGAATTTAAAAAAAAAAAAAAAAAAAGTATACCACTTTTTTAGGAAAAAATTTTGCAACCTGACGCCACTTTTTTCTGCATATATCATCTCAATGAAGGTCAGTCATTGCAAAAATGATGATAAGACATGAATCTGGGACTGAGAAACATTTCCAATTTTGTTAGGAAATACTTAAAAAATGTTCTTGACTCTCCATAGACTTTGTACACAACCACTGAAGTGGCGTCAGGTTGCAACATTTTTCCCTTTTTTAGAGAGTTAAATTTAGGAATGTTGTAAGTTTGTGGATTTGGGTTGATCAACAGATTTTTGTTTTGGCAGAGGTGAGTTGAAAACGGCATCTATCCATTTTAAAGTATAGATTGTTTGATTACATGTACGTGTACACCGTATGTTTAAGTGTGACATGCAGAGTGTATGTCTCTCTTCTTTTGCAGTCTCTGGAGAATGGAACGAATGTCATCCAACTTGAGACAGCTGTTGGGGCAGCCATGAAGTGCTTTGATGGGGCACTTGGTAAGTAATTATCATTTTTCGTTGAATTTGGGTCATTTCACACAAGTGTGTAAACAGCTTCAATCGTGAGTAGGCCTACACTGTGTTATGTGGAAGTTTTTTATTGTTAGGCAAATTAGGACTGAGTTATGGGGACTTTCTGCTGTCCCAACAGCGGTTTCGGTCCCCACAAATACCTCGTGCAGACGAGTGTTTGTCCCCACAACTACGGAACAAGAAGGGTTGGGCACCCTATTTTCCCCTTTTTTATTGGTACTTTTTTACTGGTACTTGTACTTTTTAGGAAGACCTCCCATATGTTTTGTAAACGATCGTCAATTGTGGAGCTTTCGGGAATTGTGGACCCTATCGTTTTGTATTGTTCAACGTCCCCTATTGAATGCAAAAACAAACTCACACACACACAAAATTATATTGTTCGATGTCCCCTATTGAATGCCGAAACAAACTCAATCACGCATCACACCCTGACTCAATAAATTCATATTATTTAGCGCCTTGAGTACCTAATTGTTGGTAGATACGTGCGCTTTATAAGACTCCAGTTAATATTATTATTATTATTATTATTATTATTATTATTATTCCTACAAATGTACCATTAGGGAGACACGTTATCATAATTTCTTCAACAATAGGGAGACACTGGTCATTAGGGAGACATTTTTGTGTCTCCCTAATTCCACAGCCCCCCTTTAGAGGCAAAATGTTACTGTCCCAATCAGGTTATATTTGTTGCTCGTGGTCTAATTAGTAAAAATACCGACATTTGTGGAAAAAGGACAAGGGAATATTGGGTTAGGGCACATTTAAGTTTGAAAAATTTTGTGCACAAGTCTATGGGTTTGTCTCCCAAATGACCCATTCTTTATTATTATGTGTGTGCGGTGTAATACATTTTAATACATGTACATAACAATACACTCTTATAACAGATACAACGAAAGCACAGTAGTTTCATGAGCAAGCTGTAAACTCTGTTAACAGTTACACATAAATCGCCAGATCAAACTCTGGCAGCTAGGAGGTCTGTGGGATTTTGGCAGGATTCAGGAAGGTACAGCCATGCCACTAAGTTAACTCTACGAATAGGGCAAAGACAGCTGATTTATTTGTTTGTTTGCTTGACCTTTACCCACAGGTATCAATGTACCCAGAAGTCGTTTCCTACCGGTCAAGAGGTCATCAGATCTCCTCTTGGCCATGTCCAATCTCTACTCCCTTAAGGCTGGCAGTCTGATCATGAGCCCCCTCAGAGAGTTCCGGACCACGCCCATTGTCAAACTGGGTACCCATTTCGACAAGGTACGGAGGAATGCTCATCAGGGTTAAAGCTATAGTCCATCATTTGTAATTAGTGCATTTTGTTCGTTTGAAGCAACAAAAGTGTTCAAAATCTAATGAAGGATACTGAACAACTTACTTGATGAAGTTTCAGCTCAGCTTCAGCTTCATATTCCGAGAAAAACAGCATTCTAGGATCTCAATTTAAAATCAAAAGTTGCTAAATCATGTTTCGAATTGTTTTGAATTGCAGCTTTACGCGATGTCGCGCACTGATCCGACGAATTGTAGCAACCGCACGCGCCTGTGCATCGTTCCAATGCGTGTACGCGCTGCGCCGAATAACAAAACTTAAATAAATATTCCTACGGTGCTTCTTAAGAAGCACCGTTGGAAATGCCTTCTTTCGTTGATTTCTTCAAAATGAGAGCTTGCCAGAAAGGATAATTTCACAGGGAGTTTAGTCCCCTTACTATCCTTCAACCAGTATGTTTTTCAACAATAATTACGCCAGTTACTTTTTTGGATAGCTGCAAATGATGGACTTGGGCTTTAAAGTCACATTGCTGCTTCAAGCCACATAGGATCGTTTGCAATTACCCGAAAACTGGCTGCCAATTTAACGATCGATTGGAAGAAAACTTACATTGAAAGTGGTTTCAAATTACGGTACCCCTGGGTTTGGTTTTCAACGTGCATCAGCAATGGAGTCCAGTTATGAGACCAAACAAATTGTGCATACGTTTTCCCTGCTTTCTTAAAACATATAGTATCAACTGAGCTGAAACTTCAACAGATTAGTTGCTGTCATGGCTGTGGACCCTATTTAAGAGTTATAGCAATTTTGTTGTTTCAAACTAAATCTAAAGATCCTACCAACCTTTAACTCTCAGCAGAAAAGGAGCAAGTTCCAGTGGGAAATAAAAACACTTCCTGATTCTATATATGTCCTGGTTGGATAAAAACAAAGTCACATGGGTGTTGAAATCTTGTGGGGAAGGGCAGTAGGTAAAAGTTATTCACATGTACAAAAATTGATGTATACAACTGTAAAAGTATTGATGAACTCCCGGTATTAATTTGTTGGTAAATCCATGTAGGTGCGTGATTTCCTGAGGCGTTTTAATGGTATACCTGACATGCTGGAGCTAGACCACCTAACGGTTTCAGGAGACGTCACATTTGGCAAAGGAATCTCTCTCAAGGTTTGTAGAATTCCTTTTCCCAAGTCCGACAGGAAAACTCACATTTATATGCGCTGGTGCAGAAGGAATTTGACAAACTAGACAGAGTGGTCCGGGTATGTGGGCTTTTGATTGTGGGTAGGAGTACTGAAAAAAATGTCCAAGATTTTTGCCAAAAGATTTGCCCTTTGTGGATGCAAAGCTGACACAGATATGTACTGTAGTGTCATTTTGAAAACTTTACTCTGTAGCCACACCACAAAAAAAATATCCAATTGAAATCTATCCAGTTGAACATTTAGTCCACAGAATTGTGACTTGGTTACGGTGGAACAGACTGTTTCAAATGCAGTGCATTTAATTTAATGTAAAGTTAATAACTTTGTGTGATTCAGGTTCACAGTTGGGAAAAGCAATAGTACAGGGGTGTGATTTTTCCGGATTTTTCCGGATTTCCGGATTTTTAGTCTAACGTCTGCGGAATTTTATGCGGATTCCGGAATTTTATGCGGATTCCGGATTTCCAACGTTTTCTGTTTCCGTAATATCGCCCAAAAGCTTCTGGAGAAATAGGCCCTAATTTACGATAATGGATGGACTGGTGACACAAGTCTAATAAGCAGTGCGGTCAAGAACCTGTTAGACATCAATGCAGTGTGCGCAGTGGAGTACTTGAGGACCAGACTAAAAATAATTTTCATTGGGTTTGCACCTCGTGTTTGTGTATTGCGTGTGGATGTGTGTGTATTGTGCATGTATTGTGCACTGACGATCGTGAACTAGCAATTCGCAAACACATTGGAGTCAATATTGCCGCAATTTTGTCAAGGAATTTAAGAGTATGGTTGGAAGAATTGGTAATAAAGTGTCACTGTGGATGGAAATAAGTTTGAGCTGCAGTAGTGCTTTGAAAAATAGCCACCACCAACACAAAATTTCAAAAATGTTTTGGAAGCCTGGGACTGGAGTTTAAAGTAAGATTACTATTATATTAAACTTTTTAAGCACCGTTCATATTTTTTTGTGTGAATCGTTTCTTTCTCTCTGAAAACATGCAAAAGTAATAACATCACACACAGAAAAAGACATTGAATCAATCACATATGGATTATATTATTTAATGAACAGAAATTTTTTCGTAATTTTCCCCCATTTGTTTTCTTTACTGAAGCGACAAAATTTGCAAACATTACAGAAATTACAGTAGGCCTACATAAAATGTAAATGCTATATATGGACATATGTGCATGTATATTATGTTTACATGTACATCTATACAAGTATATGTACAATAATACATGTATATGTACAATAATACATATGTACATGTACACATGTCAACCGAAGTTCGCGGATTTTTCATTTTTGTCCAATCACACCCCTGAATAGTATTCAAGTCCAAATAGGTTTGCATAGATGTTGTTGCTTCTTCAATCTCAATTTTTCCCCCCTTTTCCCCCCTTTTTTTCCTTTTCTAACAGGGAACAGTTATCATCATTGCTAACCATGGTGACAGAATAGACATCCCTCCAGGCGCCATCTTGGAAAACAAAATTGTCTCTGGTAACCTCAGGATCCTGGATCATTAACCATTTGTGTGTATTCTAATAAAAGTTGTAGAGTGAGGGTACCAGACCAACTTTTGACTGATAACATGAGTGAAATAGGTGTGCAATGGAAGAATTTTGAGTACAGACATGTCAATTTTCTAGATTATCGGGGTCTCAAGGAATACGTAGCTGATCACCAGTTGAGAGTGATATTTTTGGGTTTACAAACCTCCTAGCTCTGTCTCAGGCTTCCTAGCCTCTTCGTCTCCAGACCGAGATCTGTGAATCGTAGCTGCATTCAAATCCAAAGAATATACACCAAGCAGTGGCCTTGTGTGGCATACTTTGGTGTCCTTGTAGCAGTGAGCAGATTTGTACTGGAGTCTATATGTCGAGTTAGGGGACTAAAATTAGAAAGACTTTGTAAACCTATGTTTTTTATACAGTGGAAGGTCGCTATACTGAACATTTGGTTATACCTAACATCGTGCTTGGCTCCCGATTTTTGTGTACTAAACGTACCGAACATTGTTGTTGAAAAAATGACAACAAGTGGCTATTATTTCCCCAAGGAATAGAAGGGGAAGCCACCCATTGCTGTAGGTAACGTAGTAAGCTCAAAAACTGTGTAATTACACAATTCAATAGCACGCACGTGTTCAAAGTTGTCTTTCAGTAACTTCAAGGGCGTGATTTCTGAAGGGAGTGATTTCTGAAGGGCGCTATCTATTGAAAAGTGAGTACCACAGGCACCGGAGCACCGGCAGCTGAAATACGCTATACCAAATGATTGCTTTTACGAACAATTTATGTGGATCCCGCGATGTTTGTTATAGCTGCGTTCCACTGTATGCGAGATGTGGCGGTACCCTGTTTTTGAGCTTGAAGTTTGATCCAGAGCTGTTTCATTGCAGCTAATTGAATTGAAGGAGACTTAGAGCCTTGAAATCCGTAGAGGACTACAATGCTGCTGTAGCAGACAGATTATAGCTGGAATCCAGCTGCCAAGAGATCATGTCAGTATAAACTAAAGTTTGGGAGTATTTGTATAATTATTAGTTATCCTGAGAAGGGTGTGCTATTTATATTTTTTACGTTTAGCCAATGTGGTGACACTTATGACCTTGAGATGATAGCCATGGTAGTTTTCCACTAGACAAAAAACACATTGTTGTGTCTGCACCCTCATATTCTTATTAGTAGAAGGGCTGACTATTCATTGTACTTCTTGCATATGCAATTACTAATGCAACTACTAACAAATAAACTCGTTTCAATAGCAATTACACTTACAACATTACAACTCTTGAAACTGCATTTCTTCCAAATGTTTCCTTTGTTAGCAGAAATTTTCGATTCTGAAAGGTTTTTTTTTTCTGGGTGTTTCCCAAATGAAGGGGAATTCTAGTGAGGTTTTAGTATGACTTTGAAAAAGTATAAGGTGCTTGGACACTAAAGGTACTGTTTTCAGTTGCAAAGCACAGTAGTTGATTTGCACTTGCAGTATTTTTGCTAAGGATTGACCAGTCAGAATTCAGATTCGGTTTTCAGGTGATTGGTCAATTTATAGTGAAATCTATGAAATTAAAGCTGAAGTGTCTGGGGTTAAAGTGCCATTAGGCCTCTCAAACAAAGTCAAATAGTGCCATAGAATAAAATTGTTCTGTTCTTTTTGTTTATAATCTGTGAATATTTTACAGTGCACTGCACAGCACTCTAGGATAAAGACCATATCAATGTCTTAATCTGCATTTAAATTTTCATTATAATAAGTACATATTATTTATTTTTTGTTGTCTTTTGTCTTCCTTTCCAAAGCATGCATTAGCCAGAATAATAAGTTATTCATGCAATTTGGGTTAGGTGGAAATATGCATGGAAAATCTTGAATCGAATATATGCCTCTTTCTTTTTGCAGTGGTTTTTGCTGTTCATCATTGCAATGGTAGAGACGTTTGTGATGTATTCCATATACATTGTATCTTGTCCCCAAATTCTCAAGACTTTATCTAGCCGTTCTTTCCATGTGAAAATGATTCAGTGATGCTGCTCGATTGTACTATATCCCCACCCCAATGTTGCATATCATGGGATGAGACTTTCACCCAGTAAGTCCACTCCAAGCAAATCTCTGTGACTCAAGAATTGTATCTAACAAATAATTACAATGAATGTTCTGCTTCAGGGGTCATCTGTAAAATATACAACTGTTTTATTTTGGGCCACACTGTTTTTAAGAACATGCTTTGTTTGTGATTTTGAAAGTTCCCTGTTCCCAATGGAAATGAATCATTCGCTAGTAAGCAAGTGTTACATGAGGCATTTACGAGCTGTTCAAACTGTTCCGAAGACTGCAATAAAAACAAAATCATTAAATAGATTTGTACTTTCTTTGACTTTTATTTTAAATGGGAGGTATTAAATACTCTATGAAAAATAATTGTTCACAGATGAATTCAATTTGGTATGATGACCCTCAATTCCCTGTGTGACATTTTGTGTGTGCCCAAAATTGAGTCTGACGTATTTTTAAATAAAATAAAATACAAAGACACAAACATTTATTTTTTGAATAACAAGGAAAGAAAAGAAAAGTAGACATCATTTGTGCTCGGAGAGCACGAACCTTAGTCGTCAGTGTTTGGTGAAGGTCATGCACTTTTTAATGACCACTATAGGCTATTGGCTGACTTTTCACATTAATTTGTAATTTGTTTTAAGACGCCATCACGGGGCTGTCAAGAGCGGTGTAATGACCGTTTGTGCATTCATCGATCGAACAAGTTTATGAAGAAAAAAAATATTTTCTGCATTTTTCATGAAAAAGACTGCTGCTGAGACCACTGATTGACCCTTGGCCTAAATCTGCCAAAAAAACCACATTAGGAACGGCAAGACGGTATAACTGACCAAGTCATGTTAGAATAAACGTGAGAAAAGAGCTATTTTGCACATTTGCCAGAAAATGACTACTGAGTGACCTTTGACCCCACCTGCCAAGACCCTGTATAGGGCTTGGACAAGGAAGCGTTTGACCAAATATGGATAAAATCGGCTGAATCGATTTTCACCAAATGACCGCTAGTTACCAATATTTGGCCAAATTCTGTGTTCACCCTATATGAGGCTCGGTTTGGCTACACCCTGAGACAGCGTTTGGCTGTCATTGGATGAAGAAGCGTTTTGTAATTTCAATAAAATGACACCCGGTGACCACTAGGTGACCTTTGACAGGACGCTGCAGTTGGAGCTGTGAAATGCACCCCCCAAAAACATGGCTTTTTGAATGTTGTGTTTTTCAGAGAATATGCTCAGTATGGTTGAAATGTTAAATTATAAACAGAAGAAATTCTAAACTTCACGTCAGTGAAAAAATATTCGCCGTTATTGATGCCAAAATGTCAATACTGGTCACTGCCGTTGGAACAAACTTTTGCCAGGGGGTGCTGGAATTTCTAAAGGACGGACACAAAAAAAGCGGAGCGCAAAGCCCCTACGTCGTGGCTTAATTTGAAATATGGATGCTAGGCCTATGTGGTGCAATCTGGGGGCGATTCCTGGCTACTTTCATTTGCCTTTTTTAGCAAAAGTGTTTTGAGATTTATATAAAGACAATTTATTTCGTCATTTTGTTTAGAATGTACGGCTGCTCTTAAAACGATTAACTGTACTGAAAAGTGGAGAACCCTGTATGTTTTGGGCTAGGCAAGGATTTATCGGTCTACTGAGTTTTTATGAGGAAAAACTTGCAAAGGGTAAAACATGAATAGCTTCTTTATTAAAACGAAACTACACTGGAATTGGCGTAAGGCATGAATAGTTTCAATGAAAACCCGTCCCACTCCTTTTAGGTTGGGGATGTGTGTGAACCTTGCTATTTGAATGCTAGCAATGTCAATGGAACTTTTACATGAAAAGAAAAACCTCCACAGGGGAAAGGTATGAACATTTGCCCCTATTGAAAGATCGAATGAAACAAATCCTGGCAAGCATAATTAACTTTGCCACCATTGTCATGGTCGAGGTTATTGCTTTCGGGTCAAAACTTTTTTCATGGCGGCATTATCATAGACATGTCATGATTTTAGATACCTTGAGAGAAATATCGATACTGTACTGCCTGAAGATTTAGAAAATACCTTCTCTTGATATTTTACAGTGTTTGTGCTAGACTTTCGAAGCGCCGCGCTTAGCAGCGTGTTACAACTGATAATGTAGTAACCAACAGATAACGTATCACCAACCGATAATGTATCACAAATTGACCGATATTGTATCACTAACCGATAATGTAGCAAAAATTGACTGATAGTGTAGTAAAATTTGTATCCGATAATGTATCACGTGTCGACGGATAATGTACGATCAAACGAAGGAGATATTTGTAGCGCAAGCATAATGTATAGCGTAGCGGCGCAATTTTATCGTCGTTGAACACTGCTGGCTGGAACACATTTTGTTTTGCCCGGCAGTAGGGCGTGCTGAAGCATATTCCAGCACCCCAATCCAAAAAGTTAGGGGTGCTGCAGCACCCACAACACCCCCCGTTCCCGCGGGCTTGATACTGGTCACTGGTAAAGGTGACCTAAAAGACGTGGGAAAATCGTTCGAAAAGGTCCCAAATGTATTTATCTCAATTTCTAGGAATCCTCACAAGTTATTTGACAGATAGTTGAACACTTTTATCTCTAAGTATATTCCGTATAGTGTAAACTCGTGAAGGAGGCTATCTCATATTTTTTACTGCACACCATATATGGATAGGAACCTTATTAATGTTCGTGAGGCTTGAAAAGATTGACAGATATTGCAAACACCAGTATTACAGCTTTGAAAAATGGACATACCCAAGCCTATTTTTCCAATCTTGTACCTTGTACCTTTACTGTATCTTCTTGTTAACCCTCTGGATGGTCTTGGGTGTACAACCTTTTTTTTCAAACAAACACAAAACAAATACGTAAAAGATAGGAATGGGAATAAAATATAAGATAAATATTAAAATACTGAAATAAACAGTAACTATCGACAGCACAGAAATTAAATTGAGCAAAGCAAACAAAAACCGTTGCGGCCCGTTGGATCCGTAGAGTTGAAGGCTGTGCTTTCAGCAGGCCCAGCCATGCTTCATTTGCCACAGGCCCGGGTTTAAAAACACCCCCCCCCCTGCCCCCCATACTAAACGAAGGTGGCGAATGGACTAGGAACTGTGTATGTACATGTACGTGCTAAGAATGTACAAGGTCGCAGTTCCGAGTCTATTGCATTGATCGCGTTTCGCACGGTCAATCTCGTCGCTCTGGTGATTTTTGCTTTCAACTTTAAATAATAAGAATGCAAGGAAAAAATATTGTGGTTTTGTTTGTGTTTTTTTTTTGTGTGTAATAGTGCACGTCTCACCGCCTCTTCGGCCACCGTACTTAGTCATTTGTACCAATGAAAGTTATGTTGGATGTACGCGAGGTGCACGTACGTGGCGATCTACGGCACGAAAGTTTGTGGCTACGGTCCGCACATGACTTGGGTCATGCTTGGGTTAACAGCACACACCCCGAGAAATCGGTGATTGAGTACAAAATGCTGAGCTCTTCAGCAAAATAGAAGATTTGGTGCCTCCTTTGCCTCGTGGAGGTCAAAACTCACGATCTGGAAACCTTGTACAACGGCAACGGAGTGTCTGTAGCCGCCGTGCCTGTTGCAATTGTCTGCGTGCAACGGTACGCTGGGCGACGGAGGTGCATGGCCTGCAACCTCGTCCCCAGGGTGTCGAGCAGTACGCGCCCACCACTACCTGCTCTCTCACCCTGGTATTGGATCATTTGCATGTGCAAGATTTTTGCACACGTATGCAAATGAGGAACAGTCTGGTGCCTGGATATGCGTTACACATTAGCGTTTGTTTTTGTATGCGGTGTCTGGGGTAAAAACAGAGTCAATTCGTAGCAGCGCGAGCACGGCGTGAGTTACGAAAACACGATTTTTGAAATCAAACTGTTACGATCTTATCGAGACAACATGCAGTATCATATTTCATATTAATATGAGCAAATTGGAAAGGAAATTAGTATTTTCGAGAAGGCGTGGACGAATGATCGCGAAAACACGTACTGCACGTTGTGAATATATAGCACCAAGTACACGATAAAAATCCATTACTAGCCAATTGCGGTATCCAATCAGGATACAGAAAGAAAGCTTCCTATCCAGGGTTTACTATTGGAAAAGCGGTTGGAAATAAAGTAAGCACTGGGGACGAGGTTGCATGGCCTGCACATCACAGGACATTGCTGTAACAGGTGATTCACGGGGACATTGGGTTAACAGCATATGCACCCGAAGTTTTGGAGTATAAAGGTAAAAAGAGATTTGGTTATGTAGAACAAAACAAGGGCAATGGTTAATGTGGCATCGGGGAATCAGCATATTAAATCATGTCAGTTTTTATTTGGATTTGAGGATCTAAAGAACCACTTGTTTTTGTGGTGAAAAAATGACTGTCGTGGCATGTTTATCATGTCGGGAAGGCTACAAGTGTGATTTGTTGACCTATGGTGGTGGTTCACAAACACTTTTTTACAAACATTTTAGGGAATACTTTATTGATGACATTATCAAAGCAAGGCAGCCCCTTGCCAATAAGTTCCTCTCCTGCCCGTCGCCTTTGGGGAGCTTGAGCTGGTTCCTAGGTTGAATGCCGAATTGGGTGACAAACTTGTCTAGCTTGTTGTTTTTGATTGGAATTAATGTTCTGATTTATTGGATTTATCGACTCTTGCACTTTTTATGACTTGTGTTTCTAATTCTGTTGATAAGGCGAAAAAAAATAAATAAGTTGGTCTCTGGTCAGCGCGCGCGTCGATTTTAATCATGCGCGTCAATCTTTCTTTTTTCCAAAATGTCCCGCGGTAACTCCAACAGCGCCCTCTATTGCCGCACCTCCTCAAGTTGTTTTTACCAAAGAGCACCAAGGAATGGGAAATTGCACCAAGGCAAATGATCGAAAGCACCAATGCAAATTATGGAGGACACCAATGTACATGAGGACACCAAAAAAGCAAAATAGTACCCCACCTTGTCTGTACAATCCAAGCTTGAAGAAGAAAAAAAAGAAAAGGAAAAAAAAAAACCGCACCGCCGCGTCAATTCCGGAACTTTGGTCTGACCAGAGACCAAATTTTTTTTGGCCTAACTTGTATTGGCTCTTGATCTGTTGTGGAGATGTAGAATTAAACCCAGGTCGTACTGGATCTCGCCACACAGGCAGAGTTCTTTTTTCGAACAACAGTGGTCTTTACAAAAAAACCTTAAGGATCTCACATTAGAAGTCAATCTCATGACGTCATCATCTGTGCTGAAACGTTAGTTTCTGACTTTCGTCATGATGCAGAGCTGGAAATTCCTGGGTTGTGTCAGCCTTGGCTCATTCGTCGTGACGCAACTAGTCGCCAACGTGGTATGTCTATTCATATCCGTGAAGGTTTCTCGGCTCACAGGAAGACAAACTACGAATGCAACTGTCACGAATTTGTTGTTGTCCGTTTGTGCGCTAACTTCAGAATGTTTACATCTTCGGTGCGTACAGAAATCTCGATTGTGACGACTCCATTTACGATTGTAAACGACTCCACTATACGAAGTTGAAAACAAAAAACGCTAGAGCGAGGGAATCTCGATCACAGTTGTCCTTGTCACTGATTTTTTTTATCTTGCATTTTCACACGTACTTATCAGGGGATTTAAACAAGGTGCCGTATAACCAAATTATGCAGATCTTTTGTGATTGAATTTTAAATCTTTTTCATTTTATTGTATTTTTTTGCACTCAGGTCAATTGCATACGAACTACAGAATGGAGTCAGTAGTAGTATTTGTGGCAGTTTGGTGGATTGCTAACATGGTTTCCACCATAGCATCGAAGAAAGCAGTGAGTGACATCAAACCTGACGTCTTTGACAGTCTGACTTCTTGCACACCAGCCTTAAAGGATCTCAGGTGGATTGAATTGACAATGCTACAACACCTCTTGGGGGCGCTGTTAGCCAACATATGGGTCGTTGTAATCCGTGGCAAGTCAGTCTTTCCCAAAAATACTCTCAATCCCAAACATATGCTTCTAACAGTTATTGGCAACGCAGTGGGAAATCTGGCCACTAACGCATCTTTTGCTGCAGTCAGTTCGAGTCTGACTCAAGTGATCAAATCTTGTGAACCAGTCCTCACCTTTGTGTTCACCCTGCTGCTTTACAAGAAAGGTGGCAACTTGACCCGCAGTGTGCTGTTCTCGATCATCGCCATGGTGGTGGGTACGTGTCTGTTTATCTCAGGCGAGGTCTCCTTCAATATCTATGGACTTGGTGCTGCAGTTATTTCAAGCATCGCTTTCCCGATACGCAACATCTACCTGAAGAAGTTGGATGAGTCTTTGGATGATCCTCTTCAAAAATTTGCAGTAATTTCTAATTTGAGCGTCTTGATTCTGCTTCCATTTGCAATTATGAGCATGAGCAGCTTAGATAAACTACCTCCTGTGGAGAGTTACACTGCTGCCATCTTCCACTTCATCTACAACGCCGCCTCCATAACGGTGCTCCAAGCATACAGTCCCGTGGTACATGCTATGTTGAACCTCTCGAAGAGAATGTTTGTTATTGTGGCAAATATGTTTGTCTTCTCCACACCGTTAACATCATGGACAGTCACTGGTCTCTTGGCAATTTTCATTGGACATTACATTTACCAAGGAGGCCGCATCCCTTTGAAGGTAATTCAAATGCCGTCAACCAAGCAATGGTTCTCTCTTGCTGTCATCATCTCATGTGTATCCTCGTTTTGTTGGTTCATTGGATTCATACACCCAATCAGACCCATAAACCCAAATCACATACGATTGGACAAACCCTCACCACAGGCCACCACTGCTTGGGTATATGAAAGGCCTATTCCTCACAATGTTGTAGAAAATTTTGAAGCATTTTTGGATAGGAATCCCTTCATGACCATGAAGGTATTCTGTGGTACCTCGCAGTGTATGGAAGCAGTACAAGATTTAGACAACGCGCGCATTACAGCGAAGTTTCTTGTGCTACCAGAAATCTTTAAGAACACCCCTCTGAAGCTTTGGTTAGCCCGACATCCAATCCACAAGATTCTGACAGGTGTTGACTTTGAAGACCACGTGTACGAGGCGGTGAGGTTAGCACTGCTATGGCATCATGGTGGCATTCATTTTCATCCCTCGATCAAGCTCAGCGAGTTTACTATCCCAGGGCACCAAGAGGCTTGGGTTAGTATTGGGACAAACCTCACACAAACTACAACACACGGAATTCTAAGTTTATCTCAGTTTCCAGCGCACAACGCTTTCATTGCCAATCTTACCGAAATGTTTTGCCGTGAATACTTTCAGAATGTTACTAACGCAGATCCTCGCTCATTGCAACAGTTAAATTTTGAGACATCGGTAAATGATGTGTATAACCAGTTCTGCACATCTGAAGACCACCCTTGTCCAAAAGGTATGGTAACTGATCTCGAGAGGCTTTCTTTACTTGACGTCAAAAGACGTCATTTCGGAACAATTTCATACTCACGTCGAGCCGCTCGCGTTGCACCAAATTTGGGGGATGAGGTTCAAGGCTTCCCTGGGATACAATTCTTACCTTTCGTTGACCGTTTTGTTGATAGAGAGAACTTTGGTGGATCAAAAGAGCAAAATCGAATCCGCTTGTTCCTCAACGCGTGGTATGGAGATACAGCAATGAGATGGCCGCCACCGCGAAACATCGACCCCATCCTGCTGTCTATGCATATCCACAAAAGTGTCAAATTTAAATTCAAGTCACATGCAAAATACCTTCGAGCTAAAGAACCAATAGGATGTAGGGATACTGGGACATTGGAATTTCTGGAGCGAATCGAGGTTGACGCCTTCCTTTCTGGCTGTCTAACACTTCTAATTAAAACTCCAAACATTCAGAAAATACATTCAGGAAACATATTCCTAGTCGACGTAGGAAGAACATTCGCTGCCCACCTTCCTGCGGACATTCAGAAGAGAGCGATTCATGTCACGCATGTAGGTACAGGTGGCGTCAATTCTACCATCATGGGACGTTTTAAAGCAGCATATGGTTTGATACAAAAATACTCCGAGGCAGATGTTGTTATCACGCAACGCATCCACTGCGCACTGCCCTGTGTGGCCATGGGAACACCGGTTATTTTCATCAATTCCAAGAACATGCCCGGAGACGCCGAAGGTGTAAAATTCTCCCGCCGTGTGATGGGACTTACGCCTCTCTTCCACACCATGGATATCCATAAAATGTCTACAGAATCGATTGTGCAATGGCTGCGAGATTTTAACTGGACACACCCACCGCCAAACCCTAACGTGAGCTTGCGCATGCGCGTGCGGGCCACGAACTGGAATGTGATTCGACAGGACCAAGTTTTGTACGATAGCGCTCATAAATTTGGCCTGTTACCCCTGTCAACCCCCGCCACAAACACGCCGCATCAGTTACTGTTCCATTTTATCCCAAACATTACTGACAATCGCACCAGCCTCGACCGGCCAAAATGGCGGTCCATTGAATCGATATTTTATCATTATCCCCATGCCAGGATTATCATTCATAGTGATAGCTTACAGACAGGTCAGTTTGATGTATTAACAGAGAGTGGTTACACTATTGAAGTACACAGCCTCAGTGCAACTGTCGGTAATGACTTCATACAAAGCAAACTTTCTATATATAATCTCGGAAGATTTGATGGAGTCTTTGCAAAACTCGCCGTATTATTACACTGGGGTGGAGTGTACATTGACGCAGATGTTATCCTCTTACGACAATTGGATAACTTGATGACAAATAATCTCGTTTGGAGAGGTGAGGAGCAGAACTCATTCGATCTTTCTTTTATGAAGTTTGAGAAAGGTCATCCGTTCTTAGAGACTGCTCTACTAAAAGGAACTAAACGACATGTCTCCCAGCTTATTTCTACGTACCAAACATCGTTATTTAATACCTGGTCTAACCACTTTAAAAGTAGTGTAAAAGTATTGTCCAAAAAAGGTGTCTTCATGCAGTTTAACGCCCAAAACGCCAAGGAGTGCTTGGAGAGCACATCCGGACCGGCTTTTGAGTCCAGTATGAAACTAGTGAAACAGGATATGGTTTTCGCAAAAGTTACGAGGTTAACAAACCTAAGCAAACTCAAAAGGGGGACTATTTGCAAACATTTGTACAACTCATTTTGTGTCCTGTGTAATAATATCTACTAACGCAAGCCGTGGGTTGCAGTCTCGTGAAGTCGCGTTCACTTTTATGTCCGGGAAAACAAACATTGACTATACAGTGTACATGTATAGCCCTAGACTTCATTTTTGTTTTACCCGATTGGCAACATTCATGATTCATTGCCACAAAGTACTTAAGGTATTCCCTGCTGCTACCTCAATTTGTAAATAACAATGAGCTTGTAAAACTGCAAGCCCAGAGATTCGACATAATTATATAAAGAATTCCTATCATCGTATCCAACCTTCCCTTCCAAGCTCGGTCAATAATTCAATAATTTATTTTGATGAAGCTAGACATTTTGTCATGTTAATACAAAAGAAATTGTGGAAATCCACATTTGTGTTGAAATTACTTCTCTGCTCGTGTGTTAGTGATAATTAACTTTATCAACAGTCGTAAATTAATACCTTTTTACTAAGATTTATCAGGAATTTCACAAAAAATGTTCTTTTAAATGTATATACATGTAATTAGTGTATTTCAATTTTCATTTGATGTTGGAAGGCTGTATAGTTTTGAAGTTGGTATATTGATGCTTTTTTAGGTGCAGTACCCGGAAAAGTACATTTCTAAATTAATTGCTACTTTAATCAACATATGTACCACTTTAAAATTCGCTTTTACATTATATGAACAATGAAGATTCTGATGAGAAATTGCTAGAACAACAACAAAATTGTTATGTTCCATATTTGTCAGTAAGGAGTGTCCCACTCATAATATCAGTGGGAACTATGTAACATAGTCATATAATATTATGATATCAGTTAACAGTCTTCACGACGTGTAGCACATGTGTTTATAATATTAAAAAAATTGAAAACCTAATTGATTGTAAAGTAAGTGTCTGTTCGTTCAAAGGTTCGTGTATTAATAATTGGTTGTAAAGCCGCGGGGTATATGCAGTGGCGTAGCCAGGAATTTTTCAGTGGGGGGGGCTGGGGGGCTGGAACATTTCATGGGGGGGCGTCATGTAGATCAATGATAATTTTTTTAGAAACTCAAAATCTCAGTTGGGGGGGCGACTGGGGGGGGGCGACAAGGTTTCATGCGGGGTCTGTCGCCCCCCCCCCCCCCCCCCATGCACCCCGTGGCTACGCCACTGGGTATGTGCATCAAAACTTTAGTGTTTCATCCAAACCTTGGTGTGGGAGAAATTGCAAAAATATCTTGTTGTAACATGATACCGAAAAGTAAGACAAAAATAAGAGTGACTATTTTTACGATTTGTAATTGGAATGTTGTGTATCTTAGCGATTATCTGATCACTGTTACCTGGGATTTGTTTCATATCAACTTCCTTTAAATATGTGGAGTTTGTAAACTTGTTTATTTGACTCTTAACATTTAGGCGTAGGCAACCAAGCGCAAAAGTCAGGAGCTGGAAATCAGTATACATGTTATATTAATTATTAAGTTACAAGAGGATGTTCACGTGATCACGCAGATTGTTCATTTATGACATCATGATGCTTGTATAAAATAATTGCAAAAAAAAAAAGGTGCCAGGGCGTCCAGTTTCCTGTAGTTTTTCTGTAAATTGTGGTTTGTTTATGAACCGTGGGTGTGCTCTTACATGGCTTTACGACCGAGGATCACACACAAAAGGGAGCTCAAATGTTCTTTTGTCAAGAGGGGGGCACCTCCCCCCCCCCCCCCCCCCCAGCGGATTTGTGTGAAAGATATTTTTTCAGTAAGTAAAAAAAAATGAAAACCAAGCTCCAAAACCACAATACGCCCTGAAAATCGGCATACATTTTCCAGTATGCATTACTGGTCAGTTTTAGCGCTCCATTTGGAAGATGCCCCCCCCCCCCCCCGCTTTGTGATTTACAGAGGCCAAGTTTGCGGAGAATGAGAAAACATGTCTACATTTCCACGTACCGTTGGGCCCCCCACTTTAAAAGCTGGATACGCCACTATAGAAGGGGGGCGGGGGAGGGGGCTTGTGTGCGCCGATTGACATCGCAATGTATTGTGGGTAGCTCAGCGCGATTGAAACTGTATACTTATAAATTTTGGTTATCAATTTTGGGGTACCAGTACAGGTGGCCCTTTCTTCACGACCTCTTTGTTTCACGAGCATAAGGACGGCAAAACGAAACCAATTCACACATATCCCTATGTGATTTGTTTTCGTTTTGCTGAAAGAACACTTATCGTTTTGTGATCCGGGGACAGAACTTTAAAACGGTGGTTTTGTTTAAAAGTCGGACATTTGAGTTTCGGTTTTTTTACTCACCCTGTACATTAGCAAGCGACCAGTCAACGCCATCTTGTAAAGGACAACCAAAACTTCACCACCTCCACCCCTCCTCCACTCACACTTAGGAACGGGTATTAAGGGTCCTTATACTTCTATCCAAAGATTAAGTAAAGTGCAAAAGAAAGGTATAACAATATTTATGGATTTAATGTTGTATTCACGAGAAAAAGTAAGGTACAGCTTATTAGATTTCAAGCGACTCATGATGAAATAGTGGCGTCAGGATGCAACATTCTTTCCCGAAATTGAACGAAAATTATTAAATTATTGTGTGGCCACTTCCCGTTTTCTATCATGCCCGTCTTATGGGGGCGGGGTAGTTTTTAGGCTGCATAACATTTCCGTTGAAATTTCCGTGAAAATTATGCCCCAGAAGAAGACTCAACCAATAATGGCAAATTCTGGGCCGATTGTAACATGATCTGAAACTTCAAATGCAGGCTTTTGAGAAACTGAGCCCGAGATTGGAAAACAAAAACGCATGCAAGTGACTAGGTTTATTTATTCGCAAACGAGCAGTTTGAAATTCCACTCCTAGTATTAAGTGTTATTTTAATTAAAAGGTATAGCTTTGTTTTGTTTTAAACATTGACTACACTCATTGTGTTCCCCCTCCAGCAAATAGGAACCCAATAAATCCCCCCTCAACACCCCCCCCCCCCCCCCAATGTTTTAATATTCTAGCTGGTTTGTTGAAACCATGGTAGCTCTCTGCTTTCGGAATCAATTAGAAAGTGATAGGGGAAAGGTATAGGCCTGAAATCAATATCAGTTTTTGCTTTTCACCGACGTATAAACACTGTATACTCAATGTGAAGGGCAAAAACTAATATTGATTTACATAACCCCGACGCAAAATTCCATCTTATGCATAGGCCTGAAATCGTTGATCTTTGGGTTTTCGTTTTCGTCTCGGGTAGTTTAAGGATACATATCAAGTGATTCCATGATATTCGTTGTCAACTTAGGTCAACCGTGAAAGTCACTCCTAACTCTAGCCAAGCGGCACTAACATCAATCAGACGGAGTTTTTTTTCTTCCTTTTTTTCTTTTTAGGCCATGTAGGCCTACATCCTTGCTAACATTCGCAAGCCGAATATTTACCGAGTTTTAACCCTTGATTATTCAACCATCATGAAGTAATACTCCTTGGCTTGAGTTTGATTTGGGTGGATAATAAGGCATCAAGTACCCATAAAACTAATAATGATTATGAGTATCCGTGCAAGTGTTCTGCGCTTTATTTCGTCTCACGACCATGATGGAGCATTATTATGGGCTACTATAGCTGCAGGCAAATGTAATGATTTCCTGCAAGTCTGGACGTCATAAAAGAGTAGGACCTGACAAAACTTCGATAGCTGCCATGCAGGCATGCAGGGAAGTGAAATTTGCTGGGAAAATATTGGTTCTCATGCTACATGCATCAATATACGTGTGTATGAATGACGTGCCTCCGCACAAAATTAGCAGCCGGCAAAATATATACTGAGGCCTGCTTTATTTAAAAACTAATGCTTCGTTATTTGTTCGTGGACTGGAAGAAAAGCTGAGGAGTATGATCGAGAAACCGAGCGTGTACTCTCGCCGTTTGCAGAAAGCCTTACGAATCAACGAAGCTGAATCTCTTCTGCTCCGTGAGCGGTTAGATCACCTAGAGGCTCAGCGCAGACTCCTTGCCCTGCGGAACGAAAGCCATCAGCAGTCTCTGCGTAAGACGCTCCGCTCAATCCGACAAACTTCTGGGACCCTGTTCCCTGAGGCTCCCGATGCCCAGCACCACGTCACGGGGACTTTCTTCCTGTACGGTGCCCCCGTTGCGCGTTCCACCCGACATCTCCGGCACGCGTACCACCAGGATGCCAGACTCTGGAAATCCGGCATCGCACAGACCAGTTGTGCTTTTCAACCGTCCTCGGGCGGCCCTCAACCCTGTTACCGATTCTCGTCACCAGTGCAGGACATGGACACCAAGGCTAGGCAGGCCCGGGGTTCTTGCTCCTGCCGTTGCCTACCGCTACGGTTGCCCGCATTGCCCCGGGTGAAGCAGGGTTTCAGCATGTACTTCTCAGAGATGTCTGCAGCTAGTTCGGTATCACCGACACAATCTTCAGATTGGAGGAAGAATTCTGGGGTAATACCCCGAAATTGGGAAGCGATAAATTGATGGAATCACCATTATGCAACGACGGTCTTCGTTGAATCGTCTACAAAATGTACAATCATGCTGTCCCCAGGATTTTCCTGTTATGTTATATCTTTCAACACAATTATGAAACTAACAATTATCTAGGTCAACACTCTAAGTTTTAAAAAAAAATTAAAAAAATTCGTCATCGATGTCCCACAACAAAATAAGAAACGAGCGCGAAACAATTTAGTTCGAGCGCAGGAAATGATTTCGATCGCACAAAATATTTAACTGAAATTATTGCTTTCATGTTTGAAATATTTTTGAAAGTCCTTTTGGGGGCTCGATGATCCGTATCGTAGGGCTCTGTAGGCTTGCAAGTTTAGCTACTGTTCAAAATGGTTTAGCTACAAAGCCCGTTGTGCTAATAGGTAGTCTAGGGGCTAGACGTTGTTATGTGGTTTGATACGCGATAACCGGCGGCCGCGATAACCCGCCGCCCGGCGAGAGGTTGCTATCACGACCAACCAATATCGCCCACGGACTTGTCAGAACAACGTCAAGGGAAACTCGTATTAATATGATATGCAGCGCGCAATTCAAAAAAAATTATAGTAATTTCAAAGCAAACTCTCAATTTCTTCCAGTGCAATAAAAGATGTAGCCTTACGCCAAGGCCATCGTGTCTTAGAGTGGCATAGCTGCGAAAAAACGAAGCGACTGGAGCAAAGATTAAGTCAGACGTACGAGTGGCAAAGCCACGAGGCCTTTTCCAACTTGATTTTGTTGAATTATTCATAGTGCTGAAAGGTTAACCAATCACAACGCGAATTTTGCCTAGTTGCTTCCATTTGTGAAAGAAGCTTAGGGTGAGTAAGGAAAACGTAAGAGCAAATAACTGTAAGTTCAGATGAAAAATAAGTTCATACACTCAAAAACATTCTTGAAATACTTTTATAAGTAAAATTAAAATAAGATAATGCAAGAATAATTACGCGGTCACGATCTCGTGGAAAACTAGACTCGCATTTTTTTGTTTTTAAATTTTGTGCAAGCATCCGGCCGGCTATTCTGAATAGCATAAAAGGATGTTGCTTTTCAGAAAAAGTTCCATCAAAAAAACCTTTGCCCAATAAAATACTTGGGAGGTTATTCCCTTTCAAAAATTTGCTTTCTGTTATGATGTTACAGTTACAGGAAAAATGAAACTTTGTTCTTTTTCGCATTACTACTTTGGTACATGGATACTAGCAAGCATAAATAACGCTCTTCGTTTGATTTAGTTATTAATTATATGTTTATTATTATTAGCTTAATTACAACGTTAGTTTGATTTCAATTATGATGTAATTATAGCTGATTATGTCTGCATGTACATGTATGTATTGTATACATTATATACATATTACTTTTTAACTCACAAGGTATGAAAGTGTATGAACAGTTTCTAGTATTCCATTCTTTTTTTCTTCTGAAAATCTATCGGTCGTTCCAATTCATATTTGTATTCTTTGGGTGTCATTGATTCTCGGTGGCACGGTAGGCTATTATGTAGGCCTACAGTGTACATGTACATGTATTTGGATGAGGCAAATCGCCTGCTTGTATGTGTAATTCCTTCATTTGCCCTCCTTTACCCCATCCAAACCTCATCCAATTTTCTTCCCCCATCTCCCTCCCCCTATCTTTCTATCATCCCCCAATTTTATTCTTATTTTTACCGTTAAGTTCCACATACAAGGTTTTTTTTCCTATCTCAATTCGTATTCAGTTCTCCGATTTTTCCCTTTTTTAAATGTACCTTTAAACTAATATTGATGTGTTTTAAATGTAAGTAATTACTGCCAATTGCTTGTAGATAATGTGTTTACTGTTAATACGAACTCCTTTTCAAATCTCCAGCTTGTATGTGTAATTCACCTCTTTGCTCTCCTTTACCCCATCCCAACCCCTTCCAATTGTCCTTTTCATAACTCCTTCCCTTCCCCTATTCTTTATTCCGGCTTATTTTTCTGTTAAGTTTCGTAAACAACCCTTTTCTATCAATTTGTATTCATATTTAATGTATGTATCAACTACTGTTTTTGTGTATTTTTTAATGTAAATTGTATTCGCAATTCTGCCACTGGCGGCGAGGAGTACAATTAAAATAAACCATTCATAATAATAAAACAAAATACGTGTAATGACACGTTCAATTTTCTGGGGGTTAACATATGACTTTTGGGAGAAAATTCCATCCAAAGATGATCACCCCTAAAAGCAGTCCTGAAGCCCATATCGCCATTTTGAAAATGGAAGCCTACGCTCCATTGCAAAATATAGCCATTTTAGGGCCTAATCATCATCCACATTTTCACAGAAATACGAGCTCGCAGTCCTAGGCAAAAATTCTTTTTTACAAATCATCAAGTTCATGGCCTTCAAAATGCTCTAATACTGAAGAATTTGAGGGCACGGTGATTTAGCTGGCGTAGGCACATGCGGACCGATTTACCGGTCTGCACCCTTATACGCGTGCTACACTTTGGTTGTGTGGCACATTCAGCCAATTAATGTGTATGCTTATATTCTTTCTTGTATAGCTTGATCTTTGGCCCTGGCTATTTATATTCTTGCACATCCTGGTATCAGCTGAAATTAACCATCTTCTTTTGAGGGGTTGGTTAACTTCATGCATGTGTTATTGTGGGTGGTCAAAGGCAGCACGGCTTATGCATAATACCTTGACGGTTACATAAAATTAAAAGGCGTAATAAACTAGTTCACGAACACTTGTTATTGTATGAGACTAGAATGAAGTGAGGGTGCAGGGTGACCAAAAAAATAACCCTAAAACATTTGCCTATTTTTCAAAAATGTGATCGTTTAATTTTTATGTTTTGTATATCAGATTAATTGAGAGTTTTTTTTTTCAATACTGAAAAATTCATGAAAAAGGTAAGTTTAATAAGTTAATCGCCATTCATACATTAGTCTATGTATCAGACGTTCGTACGGAGCACACGGCTCGCTCCGTAGAACGGGTGATACTCAGACTATTCATACATGTGGGTGAAACCGAAACCACAGTACAGTCTTTTAGGAGCCCGCCCTCAGTAGCTTGAATGCGTTCAGAACTTAGTCGGATACCCTTTGCGCGAAAGCCCTACACTTCTTAACTCTGTATGTGGCAGTATTTCATTGGATAAAATACCTTGACGCACAATATGCCATGTATGTATCGTAAACCAATAGCCGGTAGCCTTTCATCAATCTCATAGCTAATAGCGTGTGTACAATTTGTACGTACGTAATATTGCATGTATTGCAGTGTTCATGGTGTTTACGGACTAGGGCCCATGTATAGGGATAGGCGCAGGCATTTAACGTGTTACGTACGAACTGTAATCTGAACGAAAAATGTCAAAATCCAGGGACTGTTTTTGGCACAAAATGAAGTCTCTTTTCCCATGAACGTGTGTCTTTTTTGTACGTAAAATAAAGCTTCCTCGTATTGTTTTCTTCAGAATAACGTTAGATTTAATACTTCGCGGCATATTCATATTGTCGTGACGAACATCTGCATCTGCATGGTCTGCATCTGATTCTGACGATCTGACTTCTGACTTTTTTACAAACGCCCGCCCGGTGTGGCTATCCCGTACTAGTAGTAGGGGCCTACATACAGATCTGATTGGCACAATGAAAACCATAACCCAAAGAGCAACTGTTGCCTGCTTGTGCTGCCTTCTTTATGTTGGTAAGTACGCTAATTAAAAGTTACTTGTTGATCTAGCCCAGGTGGACTCTCTTTCCTCCCTACGTAACGGAGGGAGTCCAGGGTATGAAGTGCTCAAAACCAGGCGAAAAAATGTATGACCAATATTTTTAATATTTTTACCTTGTTGTAGAAGCCAATTTTTACGTCGTAGTATTCTATGTGTCCTTATCTATTGGGCCGCTGGGTTCAGAAATTCCATATGCGATGCTGACGTGACCGACCTTAATGATAATCTGGAAAATAAACTCGAAAGCAAATTTGTACGTGTTTGTAGACTCTTTTCATCAGTTTCTCACCGCCGAGTCTATTCTAGTCGTACATGATGTACGTCTGTGTGCAGCGTGTAGTCTGGTTCCCTAGACCGGACAATTATTCTCGACGCTCATACATGTTTTTGTATCACGTCTGGTCCGGGGGCCAGACTATGTAGCATGAATATGCAGTGCGCACGCGTGATTTGCTTAGTAACCACCCTCATACGCACGCGCACTTACTTGAAGGCGCGGTCGCTAATCCAATGACCAAGCGTGTTTTCGCGCCAGTTACCAGAAACCCGTTTCGGCTTCGGTCATTGGTTGAGCGTTTTCGTGACATCGGTTGGCTGGAGTGACGTCACGGTTCCAACCAAAACTAAACAAATGAGGGCGCTAGCGTGCGTGCGCGCTTTCGTACGCACGTACATGTACATTGTACATGACGTACGACTCTGGGAATAAACTGATGAAAAGAGACTACAAACACGTACACGTTTAACGCTGCTTTAGAGTTTATTTTCCTGATTAATGTCGGTCAGCATCACATATGGAATTCCTAAACTCAGCGGCCCAATAGGTAAGGACACATAGAAAATGTAGGCGTGAAATAAGCTTCTGTAACGAGGTAAAACGTAACAAAAATCTGGTCCAAATTTTGGGTGGTCTTATGTAGAGAATTCTCGTCCTGGACGTTAGTCGTAATGCAATGAAGACTTCGTCCAACCTGGGCTAGGGCCTAACCCTACAGGCTACACCCCATCATTTTCCATCAATCAAAGAGCACGTTACAAAAACACCAGCCAATCAGTGATAGCTTGAGTAACATCCAGCTGATATGCTCTTCAGGAATTCACATGTAGCGCTGGAGACATAACTACGGTGTAAAAGTTATACATGTATGTAGATCTTAAGAGACCCTTAAAAAAATGGCCTCCCCAAAATTGCCCTTTTTCACATGCGGCGCAGTGCCCGTGCAACGGCAGTGTATAGTGTGCCCCCAAAGATGTTGAGGATTTATTAGATGATCCCATGATTTTTAATTTATTAATGAGTTTTTAATTAATTTTTTACGTAAAAATTAATTTCTATTTAATTTCATTTTTTCTTATTTATATATTTGTTGGGTCGTCTTATTGCTTGTTTGTTTTTAATCAGTAATGGTTAATTGTCCTGTTGATTAAGATTGTGCCATGTGTAATTTTAATTGTTATTTTAAATTATATATTTATATTTTTACATTTTTTTGATACCTGTAAATGGCGGGTCTCCGCTGTTGGTTATCCAATAAATAAATGAAATAAATGATGTTACATGTACATGAACAAAAAACATTTACTGTATTGCTGTCATACATTTTACCTGTAAAAGTTTTATACTATACAAGTACATGTACATGGCACACTGTTCTTTGCATGCTAGATTATTGACAGAGTGTTAATAAATACACCGATTGTTTATGTGTAATTTGCACAAATACAGAGTGATGTCATCATCGGGTTACGTGACTTCATTTGCATACATAATGCACACTTTTATCCTAGCACTGCCAACTATCTGTAAAAGTTAGCTGTTAGAACAACTATTGAATGCTTTCTTTGCCCTTTGAAAGGACAAAGCATTACTGAGATCAACCAATGTGGAGAAGGGATGCAGAAAAGGACAGAGGTCACAGCACCAATGATTAGCCCATCAAGTCCAAGTGGTTCAGCACAGTTGGTCCACAGGAAGATTGAGGGGACAAGAAAGAAATCCTTAGAGAGTACAAGGCGAATAGAAGGGGAAAGTGGAGAAGGGATGCAGGAAAGAAAAGAGGACACAACAGCATCATAGGCCAACTAAGTCCAAGAGATGTAGCAGAGTTGGCTGACGGAGGGGAAAAGAAAAGGATCCAATGACACCCTTGATGAGTTCTTTATCTGGGTGATAAAGAATGCATTATTGAGTAACCAAAGTTGATTTTATGCTGATATCAAGCGATTGATTATTCCCCAATAAAACAGATAGTTTCCTATTGAATTCCAAGCCATTTGTTGATAATGCCTGACTTTGTGTTGTAATCCAGTCAATGTCTGTCAGTCAGTTTATGTTGGTCTTGCTCAAGTCAGAGATTCCTTAACCAACGCTGCTTCTACCAAGTCAAAGTGATGCGGTCGAGTGGGTTGATGAAGGGAAAGATTGGACAAAGAGGCTATACGTAGATAAGGACAATTACAGACCAGGATACACCAGTGAGAAAAAGGGAGCAGCAAGGAAGAGACCCCAATATTAACAATTATCCTACTTAGTCCAAGTGCTATTGCACAATGTGCTGATGAGATGAAATCTGGAGAAAGGACAAGGCAAGACGGAGATCAACTGAGTGGAGAAGGGATGCAAAAAAGAGACAGAGACCAAACCTGAGTGGTTCGGCACAGTCGGCCACAAAAAAGATTGAGGGGACAAAGAGTGAATCCTTACAAAGAACAAGGAGAAACTGTGATAGACTAATGTGGAGGAGGGATGCAGAAAGGAAAAAGAGGCCACAACACCAAGATGAGTCTACATAAAGTCCAAGAGATATAATTTGATTTTATTCTGATAAAATTTGTTTAGAATGCCTGACTTTGTGGTTTAATCCAAGTAGGCTATATGTTTGTCAGCCAGTGTATGTTGGTCTTAAGAATGCATTATTAAGTGATCCAAGTTGATTTTATTTTGATATCAAGTGATTGGTTGTTCCCCAATAAAACAGATAGTTTGCTGTTGAATTCCAAGCCATTTGTTGGTAATGCCTGACTTTGTGTTGTAATCCAGTTAATGTCTGTCAATCACAAGTCGAAGTGATGTCAATCACAAGTCGAAGTGATGTCAATCACAAGTCGAAGTGATGCGAAAGAGGCTATACGCAGATAAGGACAATTAGAGACCACGATACACCTGTGTGGAAAAGGAGGCAGCTACTGCACAGTGTGCTGATGAGATGAAATCTGTAGAAATGACAAGGCAAGACGGAGATCAAGTGGAGAAGGGAAGGAAAAAAGGACAGAGGCCACAGCACTAAATATGGCCCACGAGGTCTGAGTGGTTCGGCACAGTCAGCCCACAATAAGATTCAGGGAACGAGGAGTGAGTCCTTAGAAAGGACAAGGGGAACTGAGATAGACTAATGTGGAGCAGTGATGCAGAAACGAAAAGAGGCCACAACACCAAGATGTGCATTCTCAGTCCAAGAGATATAGCAGAGTTGGCCTGATGGGAAGGAGGGGAAAAGGATGGGATCCAACAACGCCAAAGGCGAGCCTGGAAATTCTGGGTGTTATTATAAAGAATGCATTATTATCTGACTCAATTTGATTTTAATATCAAGTCATTGATTATTCCCAAATAAAACAAATAGTTTCCTGTTGAACTGCAATCCATTTGTTGATAATGCCTGACTTTGTGTTTAAATCCAGTATACACATGTAAATGTATATCTGTCAGTCAGTGTATGTTGGTCTTGTTCATGCCAGAGACCTGAAACCAATGATGATTCTACTAAGTCGGTGTGATGCGGACAAGACAGTTTATGAAGGAAAGATCGCACAAAGAGGCTATATGCAGACAAGGAAAACTAGACACCAGGATACACCAATGTGGAAAAGGAAGCAGAAAGGAAGAGACCCCAATATTAACGATGATCTTACTAAATCCAAGTGCTACTGGTACTGCACAGTAGGCTGATGTGGAGAAGGGATGCAGAAAAAGACAGAGGTCACGGCACCAATGATGAGCCCATCAATTCCACTTGTTTGGCACACTTGTTCAACAGGAAAATCGAGGGGACTAGGAGGAAATCCTTAGAAAGGACAAGGCGAAACTGAGATTGACTAATGTAGAGGGGGATGCAGAAGAGAAGAGGACACAGCAACAAGATGTCCCTTCAAGGTCCAAGAGATGTATGGAGTCGAGTTGGCTGATGGAGGGGAAAAGAAGAGGATCCAATGACACCAACGATAAGCCTGCAAAGTCTGAGTTCTTTATCTGGGTGATAAAGAATGCATTATTAGGTAACTAAGTTGATGTTATTTTGATATCAAGTGATTGGTTATTCCCCAATAAAACAGATAGTTTCCTGTTAATGTCTGTATGTCTTCCAGTTTACATGTATGTCTGTCAATCAGTGTGTGTTGGTCTTGTTCATGTCAGAGACCCCAAAACCAACGATGAAGCTACCAAGTCGAAGTGATGTGGCCGAATGGGTTGATACTGTTATGTGGAATAGAAAGTAAAAAAGGGAAAAGACCCCTGCTCTATATCAACTATGATCTTACGAAGTCCAAATACTTTTGCACAGTGGGCTGATGAGGTGAAAGAGGAGACAAGGAGGCTACCTTCAGAACGGATAAAGGCCAAAGGGAGATCAATTAATGTGGAGAATGGATGCAGAGGTCACAACAGCGATGATGAGCCCATCAGGTTCAAGTGGTTCAACACAGTTGGGCCAAAAAGAAGATCGAGGGGACAAGGAGTGAATCCTTAGAGAAGACAAGGAGAAACCAAGATGAACTGATTCTGAGAAGGGATGCAGAAAATAAAAGAGGACACAACACCAACCACGAGCCTACTAAGTTCAAGAGATGTAGCAGAGTAGGCTGACTTGAAGTAAGGGGAAATGAAGAGGATCCAATGACACCAATGATGAGCCTACAAAGTCTGGGTGATTCTTATAAAGAATACAATTATTCAGTTACCCAATCTGATATCAAGTGATTGAATTTTTCCCATTAAAACAGACAGTTTTCTGTTGAATTGCAAGCTATTTGTTGTTGCTTGCCTGACTTGGTGTTTTAATCCAATTTATATCTGTCAGTCAGTTTATGTTGGTCTTGTTCGTGTCATTGAGGTCTTTTTGTTATCTAGGGAATCTACATGTACAATGTACGGCAAGCCAGAAGAAAGAAGAAGTGATCTGTAGAAAGGAAAAAGGCGACGTTAAGATGGACCAAAACAGAGAAGTAATGCAGAAACGAAAAGAGGCCGCAACAACAATGTGCCTTCAAGATGTAAGCAATCCAGTTGGCTTACAATTGGAGGGAAGGCATGAGGAGGCGCTCTGTAGAAGCATAAGGAGACACTGAGATAGAGCTATGCAGAGAATACAGAGAAGAAAAATCCAAGATGCACTGATGTGGAAAGGAGAAGCTGATGGTAGAGCCCCCAAAACCAACGACGATTCTACCAAGCCCAAGTGATGTTTAACTCTAATCAAACCAAGAAAAACACTTGAAATTAAATAAAAAGTTATGAAACTCCTACATGTAGTTGATAATTATTAGAGAAAAATAAGTAATAATATTACAAACCAATAATATTTATTTACTTCAGTGTACTTAGTATTGCTATTATTCGTTCAAATGAATCTATGACCTACGCAGTCCTTGAGATGTAGCACAATGGGCCGACAAGAGGAAGGATGGGACGAGAAGGCGAATCCATAATAAAGACCAAAGTTGAGCCTACCAAATCCAAACAATACATTACTGTTGGCCAATAGAAGAGAGGGAACAAGAAGGTGATCCGTAGGGGGGAAAAAAGCATGACGGAGATAGGCAAATGCACAGAAGGATGCAGAAAAGAAAAGAGGCCACAACATCAACGATGGGCCTACCAAGTCCAAGTTATGCTGAGCCTACCATACCAAGTCCGAACAAAATTTCACTGTTGGCCAACAGGAGAAAGGGGACAAGGAGGTGATCTGTAGGAAGAAGGCGTGACTGAGATATAGACCAATGCACAAAAGGATGCGGAAAAGAAAAGAGGCCACAACATCAACAATGTGCCTACCAAGTCCAATTGATGCTGCAGAGTTGGCTGACAAGAAGAAAGAGGGGAAGAGGAGACGTCAGTAGAATGGAAAAAGTCTGCCCCACAAGAACAATTTGAAATTTGTGTAGTAATTATTCCATGACAACTATTGGGATAACAGAGTTTTACCGAAGATGTGTGTTGAATAATTTAATGGGAAAAAAAATGACAAGATGAAAGAGGGATGAGGAGGTGAGTTGTAGCAGAGAGGGGATTCAGAAAGGAAAAGAAGCTTCAACACTGATGGACTTGCCATAACCAAGCAATGCAGCACAGTGGGCCAACATTGGGCCGAGTCCACCGAAAGTGTAACGTCCAGCAAAGTGACGGCCATATTGACGGAGATGCTGGCCACATTGACCGAGACGCTGGTTGTGAGCCTCTGAGATCAACAGCGCTCAGTGTCTGAATCAAAGAGGCAGTCTCAGGCATGACTGGGCCCATTGACACCCTGTGCAGGAGTGAAATTGATGCGGTCAAAATGGCCAACTTGCAAAATACTGTGATAGAGCTTGGCCAGTCCAGCGACAGTGCACACAGCAACATCATCAAACCCATATTCTTCTGCCAAGATAGGGATGGGGCATCACAGACGGTGGAAAGTGAGCGGGGCTTTTTCGCTAACAGCACGCAGAGCCATCAAATTGGCCCTGATTACCAAATGCTTAGCAACAGAAATGTCCTCATGCTCTACAGGATTGTCAATGAATAAGTAGCCATCCATACTGGACATGCCTTACCTCTTCCCGTCTGTCCAATTAATCAACTAGAGATGGTCACCATCTCCAGTTCCCTTATCAACATTGTAGAATCCGAGCTTGCCAACATATTTTATCTGCCTTTTGAACACTCTTTCTGCTTCAGTTGTTTCAGTCAAGCCACTGGAGATCTTCAGGAGCTCTCCAGGAGCTCTCTAAAGCCACTGACTCTCCGCTGATTTGGTTCAGTCATAGTACTTCGTCTCCAGCACCACCTGTTCCTGTACCCTAAGTTTGTAATTTTGTATTGCTGTAACCGCACTGTTGCACTTTCATAAGTAAATGATGTACATGTACTTTACTAATGAAGTTGTGATTTCATCATTAGGGTAGGTAATTATGCATCCAAGATTTTAAAAAAAATCTATAAATGGCAAGCTGGAATGGCAAACATGCCCTGAACAGTCCCTCCCAAACATGCCCTTTGAAAAGAAGTAAACCTGTGTCAATAGAAAGCAAAGAAGAAGAAGCACGGCTGGCATCCAGACGAGAATGTTTACTGAGAGTGGGGCGAGAGACCTGAGACGGCAAGATAGTCCAGCCCCAATGCACAAGCAACATGTATTTTATTAGTTCCCAGTGAGAATTTGTTGAATAATTGAATAAAACAAGAAGTTTTCTGTTGAATTACTTGAAGTCACTTGTTCCCGGTGCCTGACTTTGACTTTGAAGTTAAGTTTGAATTTTGTCAGTCAGTTTATATTGGTCTTGTTTGTTTGTTTGTTTGTTTGTTTGTTAAGTTTTCCATAAGTCTACAGAATCTGCCACATAAAAACGTCTTGGGCAAACAATTACGAAAGTCCCCAATTTTACTCCCCCAGCCTTCCTTTCATTTTTTTTGTTGCCAAACTGAAGTTGCCCCCCCCCCCCCCCAGTTATCCACCCCTTCCCTTCCCAAGATGTCACTTAGGAGTCTTGGGTGGTGCCATCCTCAATATCCAAGCACCACCCCAGACATGTACATGTATCCCACCTGGCCAGGCTCATGGGAGGATTATGGCAGCAGACTCATCGCCGGTTCCAGTCAAGTACTAGCTCGGCAAGTGTCGCCAATATGCCCAGGCATGCCAGACTGATCCGGCGAGTGTTAGCAATTCATTATAGCCCTTTTGGTAGACTACCGGTAATTCCCATGTCTTACAATGGACTCTGTGCACAAACACACGATGCTTACTGACCACTATTGAGAGCTCCAGTGAGAGGAATACACCGAGTGCATGCCACTGGAAGTACACACAACTAGTTGTGCACAAGTTTGTGGCATCCTTCGTGTGCATGTCAGGTGCGCTTGTACTTCTTAGTTGTCTCCCCAAACTCTCCCGTTGAGGGAGTACATGTTGTTGTGCACATAATCCATAGTCTATATTGACAGCAGGTTAATAGCAACAAGAATCCTAAAACTTTGAGTTTCTGGCAATCTGGGTAAAAAAAATCAAATTGAATTTCATTAGGAAAGAGATAGCCAATCCCACTTGCTTTTACAGTCATACTCAGTTGTCCCATTCATAGAAAGTTTGTAAACATTCTCATGTCCAATTTGTGAAATGAGTGAGTGGGTTGATTACAGAATATTATTGATAATTTATTATCATTATAAAAAAGAAGGTCAAAATGATGTGTGAAGGGAAAAAAACCTGAGTTGAATTGTGAGACATTGAAATCATTAAAATTACTTTATAATAAAACAATTGGAATTTGTATTCACAGGAACGTTGCATTTAGCTGAAGCAGACCAAGCCAGGGAGACCTCAAAACAGCAGTCTCTGCAAGAGCAGCAAAAACAGGAGCAACAGAAGCAGCAGCAGCAGCATCAACAACAGCAAGCAGTTCACAGAACTGAGGAGAGTATGCCAAAGGTTAGCCAGAATGTACCCAGGGACGTTGGAGCTGGTAGTCCTTCAGAGGGCATTGAGCCAAATATTGCAAACTCCAATCAGGAAATTTTAACTCAGGCAGCCTCAAATGACAGGACTGGTGGCCAGAGCCAGCAAAAGCAGCAGCAGCAGCATCAACCCACAAAAGAACATGTACATCAATCTCATCCCACTGGTTTGCAAAGTCCACAACAGCCACCTGTTCACCAGCAAGCATCACAGACTCAGCAGCAGCAGCTGCAACAGCCACCACTTTCCGTGCAACAAGAGTTTGCAAACCAAAAAGTTCAAAACATGCATCAATCCAAAACCACTGGTTCCCACATTCCTCAAGACCAGCAATCATCACAGACACAACAGCAGCAGCAATCACATTCTCAAGCACCTAAGCAACAACCTAATGTGGATTCCAGGCCTACACCGCAGCAGGCTTCCCAATCTGACCAGGTCAATGGAAAAATGCAGATGAGCTCGGCCGGTAACCAAGGTACTGGCCAACCATCAAATCCAAGCCAGCAGGTTAGGCCAGATGTGGGATCCAGCACCCCAAACCAGCAAAGCAATACAAATGCCCAGCAGCACGCCTCTGGCCAGCAGACAAGTGGAGGTAGTCAGTCTACGGAACGGTTGCTTGATCCCGAGAAGTTAGAGCAGTTACAAGAAGAAACAGAACGCCGATTACAGCTGCTTCAGCAAAAACACAAACAGCAACAAGAAATACTCAACCAGCAAAAATTGCAGCATCAACAAGCACAGCAGCAACAGCAACAACAGACTCCTCAACAACCTCTACAGCACCAAAATCCACAAGCTGTTGCTCCTGAGCAGCAGCAGCAGCATCTGCAAACTTCACAACATACAGTCGATCAACAACATGCTCAACAACATCCACACCAGCAACCTGCACAGCACCTGCATCAACATCAGCCGCAAGTACCGCAGCAACAATCTCTGCAGCAACAGCAACAAGCTGCAAATCAGCAGCAACCTTTGAATTCACAGCAGCAACCTCCAGCTCAACAGAAGCTGCCATCACAACAGCAAAATCTACAATATCAGCAGCAGGAAAAGCCAGTACTAAATCAGCAACACGTCCAACAGCAGCAACCCGCACAGAACCAGCAACCTCTCCAACAGAACCAACAACTTTCCAATCAGCAAATACACCACCAACAGCAAGTGCAACCGCAACAACAGACCTTACAACAGCAAACCCAACCGCCCCTTACTCAACAACAACAACAACAGCAACAGCAGCAACCTGACACCAAACCCCCAAAGATACCGGAGCCTCCCAAAACTATGCAGCACCAGCAAGCACAGCATCAGCAGCAGTCACCCACACAGCAGCAGCAACATCAGCAGCAGCAACCAGCATCTCAGCAGCAAAATACAGCAGCATCCGGCTCAAGTCCTAAATCGTCAGCATCTAAGACACCAGGCAAAGAGGCAGATGACAGTAAAGATTTGGCCGATGAGTTTGCTCCAATTCCCCTGGCAGTACCACCTCTTCAACAGCCAAAGATTGAAGGTAAGATGAAAAAAAATATTTACCCTAAAACATTCTGAAACACTGGTCCAGGTATATAGGAAGGACAATAATTGCATAATATAACTTTCTTCGAAAGCCTGTTTTTGTGCATGCTCTTCTCACCCTCTGATGTATAGTTTTTGTTTATTCGAACCAAGATATATCCAACATCTAACTACCGAATTATCATGTTTAAAAGTATTCTGTGATGCTGTTGATGATGACTTGTCAGTTTCTTCCCAATTATTCTGGACTTTTTAAGTTGTGAAATGCTCAGAACTTTATAAATCTTTAAAATGAATTGTACACTTTGCCTCCTACGTGTTGCTGTATGTGTAAGTATGCATGTTACATCCTGACAGTCCATGCAAATTGATATTACATTGTCAAAACAATTCATCGGACTGTTTGCAATGTCAAGCTTGGAATGCACCAGAGTTCAGGGGTGCGTTTTGGTGGTAACCAAGCATTGGTTCAGTGGTTTCTTGTCGGTGAATTTCTTCAGCAATTTTAATTGGGTTAGAATTCAAATGATCATGTAGTACTCAAATCCCCAAAACAATTAACCAAAGAGAAACCACCGAACCAATTCTTGGTTATGACCGCCAAAACGCACCCCTGGAATGCACAGTTGTATAGATGATACCGTTTTACATATATATGTACTTTTCTAGATGATGAAACTTTGTTCGGCAAAAGACCACAGGATCCAAAGGAGGCTGAAGTTTGGGAAAAGGGTAAGATAATTTCAATGAATGATGTACTGTAGAACGCCATGGTCCAGTGGTTACGGTGTTTGACTCATGTACGAAGGTGCTTGGGTTCGAACCCTGCCAGGAACATGGTGTTTGTGCCCTTGGGCAAGACACTTAGCTACAATTGCCTTTCTTCACCCAGGAGTATAAATGGGTACCTGTGAGGGTTGAAGACCGATTGAGCGCTGATATGGGCTGCCGCATGGTCCCATGGCCTGATGAACGGGGTAATAATCGTAAAGCGCTTTGACATTGTTGATACGATGGAAAGTGATAAGCACAATTATTATTATTATTATTTATTAATGTAACAAAAAATGTTTTGAAATAGACACGGGCAGATTATTTTGTTTTTTACCAGGTGCTTAACCCTAACCTTCCTCAATCCTCCAAAATCCTCCAGGCGGTTTTAGAGGATTTTGAGGATTTTGAAGGATTTAATTCAATTCAAATAGCCATTCATTTCCGTATACATCAAATACACAATAGTAAATGATTAATGATGACAATTATACAAAGATACATGTACATACAGAGATAAAATTTGAGGCTGAATGGCAAAAATTGTCGGCTGATTTTGGAGGATGCATTGTGTCGAGTTTGTAGGATGTACCTGGCATTGTTTATGTTCAGCCATGCATAAATGATCCCTGCATTATGCTCAATATCATTCACACTGCTTCTGAATGTCATTGGCACTGCCTCCACCCATAACAGTGATTGTTGGAGGATTTTGAAGGATTGAGGCAGTGATCACCCCTCCACTGAACAAATTCAAGGAATAACAGATGCTTTTGGAGGATTGAGGCTGAATCCAGTTTGTACATGGTGGCAGTCGGAGGATTTTGCAGGATTGAGGATGGTTCCTAGCCAAAAGGGCTTAGGGGGTTTAATAGGATTAAGGGGGTTTAATAGGATTAAGCATCCCCGATACCTACAGTGTTCTGTTAGTTACAAGTTCATCTCATCCTCATGTCACTTGTTTGGCACTCCAGCAATTTGTGTATGTTTTTATGTAATGGACCGATCCAGTAAGCTCCGCCCAGTACGCACGTGGGTAAATGAACATGTGCTCCTCTCCATTGCCACGCTGCATTTTCCTTCCGCGCGCATCATACGCGCGTGCACGCATGTCGGACTTTAGTGCACGCACGTCGGACATAAATCACGGCTGTGATTGGTCAGAACACCATGGGGCGGTGCTTACTGGATCGGTCCACTGACCGCATGAAGAATTTTGAACATGAAATGAATTTTCCCTTTTATGGATGCAGCTAATAAGATGTACAAGGATTCATTGCCGTTGATCAATGGAAGCAAAGAAATGATTACACGGTAAGTTCATGTATTTATGATTGTTGGCTGTTTTCTTTGTATAAACTGCTCAAGTCAATGGGTTCCAACTAAAGTAAGGTGTAAGCGCACAAGTACATGTACTCCCTTAAAGGTATATATCATTTGCAGCTATCCAAAAAGTGTACTTGGTTTAAAGAAAGTAACAGCACTAAACTCTCTGTCAAATTATTCTTTCTGGCATGATGTCATTTTGAAGAAAACAGTAAAAGAAGGTCATTTCCAAAGATGCATCTAAAGACGATTTTTTTGGAAATTTCCGCTAGTACTTCGTTTTTAATTCGGCGAAGCCGTGAATGGTTGCGCATCAAGCATTGACACGACGCACACATGTGCGCTGTTGCTTTAATTCGTTAGTTCAGTGGGTGACATCGCGTAGCTGTAATAGGCTGAATAAGGACGTGTCCTGGATGCTGAATTCGGGCGCAATTCAAAACATGACTCGGCAACTTTTGAATTGAAATAGAGATATTGTTTTCTCGGAATATACAGCATTCATTGAGCTTAATCTTCATCAGGTTATTTGTTTAGCACCCTTCTTTAGATTTTGAGCACTTTGTTGCTTCAAACGATGATGTACTCTACTTTTGATATACACAAGTGGTGAAGACACTGTGTTTAGGAAATTCAGAATGAAATAATCATGCCTGTATGTGTGCTTATGTGTCATGTGTGTGTCTGCTCTTGTATGGCATTACGATTTGAGGACAGACCCACAAAGGATAACAAAAGATCCTTTCAATTCCTCGAACGGCGGTGCTTTTGTTTGAAACTGTCCTCGATCCTTACGTGCTTAGTCTATGGGAAAGTGTTAAAGTACAGGGACAAAGGGAAACACAATAGGTTGTCCTCAGGCGTATTGTAAAACACGACTGTGTGCGTCCACACATGACAGGAGCTACGATTCCAGCATGTACTTGTACATGTAGATACGAAAGGCTCAGTGCATTTAATGATTCATTTTTCAAGTATACCAATTTCCATTTGATCAAAAATTCATATATTGAGTGTTTCAGGGGGAGTCTGGTTCAGCATGTGAGTAATCATAATACATGCAAATAACACACAAAACTGCATGTTGTAATCATAACAGCGTCTTAATTTTAGGGAAAATTAGAGCTACATGTATGGTAGTAGCAAGCAGTGCATTACAAAAAGTTACAGAAATAGAAAAGTGAGAAAGACAGTGTGGAAATCCACAAATCTTTTTTGTTCTGTTATGTTTGATGCAGACAAATTATTCAATAATTTATCAATTATTGTATTACTTGTTACATACATGTACATATGTATGCACAATGCTGTAGGGGTTAATAGTGACTGAGTTGAATGATCTGTTCTTGGACTTTACAAAATTTCCAAAACATTCAGATGTTTTGAAAGAGGATTATCCACCAACAATTTGTCACCATTTGAGCAACTGCAATCCGATGTTGCTAAAAAGGCCAAGTTTCTGTAGTCCACTTCTGAAAACTTTCATATTTCATTTAAATTTGTTTGCATTTGCCTTTAATTTTAGTCCCAAGTAAATGTTGAAACTTTTTTTCGTCTCTAAAGGCAACTGTCAAGTCTAGGTCCAAAACACAGCAGATAGCAGAAACTTCCATACCTTTTTACAATCAAGTTATCAACTGAAAGAATTCTGTCAGTTTTGGTATTGCTGATTTATATTCACAGAGCAAGTCACAATTATCCACTCAAGTAAAATTTAAAAAAATCTTTGCCTTTTGTTCTTTTCCCCTGAAAATAGAGGTTATGGATTATTACGGGATGCAGCGTACCTCAACCAATCGAAAGCCCAGGAGTTGGTCAGCTATTCATACCTCGTGGGTAACCATCTACCCATGAACCGAAGCGGGGCTGAAGATATATTCCTCCGACTTGCTGAGAAAGGGATACCAAAAGGCCAAACGGTAGGGCATTGACCGAGGCCCGTAGCCTGGGAAAGGTTGCGGGGATCAAACAACCCAACCCAAATCCGGCATGGGACATTTTTTAGCAGTATATTTTCAATGGTATAACAACTGTGAAAATAAAATTTTCAAGTATTTTTACTGGCTTTTAACCCTAACGTACCTGAATCCATCAAAAATCCACACTCCTGTTTTGGAGGGTTTTGGTGGATTCAGCATACCTCTATATTGAAAAAGTTGGGGGATTTTGATGGATTCAGGACAGTAAGCCAAGTGGTATTGTAGGATTTTGATAGATTCAGGATACCTCCATATTGAGGGGTAATAATGATGTAGCGCCGTGAGCGCCAGTACCTGGTGGATACGTGCGCTTTATATTAAAGTACCCAACATTATTTGAGCAGTTTGGGGACACTGATGGATTCAGGATCTCAACATTTTCACTCCTTGGCTATATATTTGGTGTGTACGAGGTATATGCACTACACTGGTGGATTCTGATGGACTCAGAACACCAACATTTTTTTGCATGACAAAATTGGTGGATTTTGGCGGATTCAGGATACTTTCTAGCAAAAGTGCTCAAGGGGTTAGGGATAAAGTGAAGTTGGAAGCCATGTCTTCAGCTCACATTTAGAGGGCAATTCCATGCAAAAGTGGACATGACTGAAAAGTAACAAGTTTAAGAAATCTTCAGAACTACGAGCATCGCAACCTCAAATGTGGTATCAAATTATGATATGGCAGATAGGTGCATTTGATGACACAAGCGTGGCAAAAGAGGATGTCATGAGAAATGTATTTGGCTATTGGGCTCCGTGTGCCAACAACAGATTTTTTACCACTTTGGATGGGACACAGTGTGTGCGTACTGCACTGGTTCGCGCCCAAAGTACGCACGACTTATTTATCCTGAATGTGCACAAAGCTAAGCCATAGTGTCTTCGCGCATGAGCGTTGGGCATCGTCGGCGCGCGAACATGTTCGAATTTGACTTGCAATGGTCTCCCAAACTAATCCCGCCCCCAATAACTGTGGATCATTCATAATTTGCAGTGGATGGACTGGGAACCAGTCTACGTCCTCTCCAACTCTCCTGTTCTGGCCGTTGGAGGTGTACTTGTGCACAGAGCCCATAGGACCATCGCAGATTTGTCCTTTGAAAAGCTTTCCTGAGTGAACTCAAACTTTAAACCTCATGTTTACTAGTGCTGACGTGCTAACCACTCCACCACAGAATATACCAGGATCTGCTAGCCATTTGAAACATGGTCTAAGTTTCCCTCTATAAAAAGAAGGGATCAATGCATTAAAGGTATTTTTTAGCAGAGCATGTATTGGCATTCACAGTGTGGAGCAAGAGGAAAAACTAGTTTTCTTTCTTTACAGGGTTTAGGCTTCCTGTTTGCCAACGGCATCAGCTTCAACTCCAGCCAAGCCAAAGCTCTGGTCTTCTACACCTTTGCTGCCCTAGGGGGTGACCCCCACGCCCAGATGATTCTGGTAGGTTGGATATGCTACCAAAATGTGATTTTCACTTTCTGTCCAGGTCAGGCTCTCTGACCTGGTGCTGATTTCATAAAAATCCTAACGTCTTCTCTTAGGACTTAAGACGAGTCCCCGCTCTTAAGATCGATCTTAGCTAAGAATCATCCTTTGACCAATTTCACTAAACACATCTTAAACAATATGCATAAAAACTACCAATTTGATGGCAGTTTCATGTTTAAGACGAGTCCCCACTCTCGGATGGATCTTAGCTAAGAAGCATCCTAAGACTGATTTCCCTAAACACATCTTAACAAGACGAAAGAAAGTACCAATTTGATGGCAGTTTCAATATTTGTTTTTCTTTACGAAACAGCCGTTGAAAAGAAAAGCGCAAAACAAATTTCCCGCGTATGCATAGAACATAAACTTGCACCAGAAAAAGTACTGTACTCAATAGATTTCATACGCAAGGAAGTTCTACACAAGATACGATAGAGTCATTCTTGCTCCCCGTTTCATAACTCTATTTGAAAAAGTTGACCAGATGTTGGCATAGGCTGTACTTAATTTTTTTTTTAACTACCCGTACCCATGTATCGGAGATCTTTTCAAACCTGTTTATACAGCGGTTTTCTCCCTCGAAACTATTACTCTAGGTCGTCACTCGTCTTTAACAGCAATGATTTCCAAACAATATACAAATTAACACACTCATTAACGAGTTAAGCCACGTGGCTAATAAAGGAAGTTGGGACGAGTTGAAACAGTCTTAAGTTTGGTAAAATCTATCCTAGTACAAGCTGCAAGTTAAGACGAGTATTAGACGCGTCATAGCGTTTCGTGAAATCGGCCCCAGTGCATTTTATAGTGACGTAATCGTGTACGTTGAACACTTGGTCACAGACAGCAAATGTACTCTATAACTTGAGGGTATATTTCATGGAATTAACAACTGAAAATGTTCAAGTTCTTTCCAGAGTATTTTACTCGACAGTGACTAAACTAGTGAGAACTACAATTGTGCTTACGTTTTATGGGAAGTAGATTATAACATAACGTTATGATTTTAGGATTCCTTGGCAAAATGCTTTGTTCACGTGGACTGCTGCAGTGTGCATAACTCGGTACCGGTAACCATGGTTCCACCAAGATAACTTCCGAGTGAGGTCACAACTTTTTAAGTGTATTTGCCAGGCACTGTCCAGAATTAATTCCCAGGGATCTAGAATCATCAGCTACTGTAGAGAGTTGATTCCAACTGAAGCAGGCACGATTCAGATTCCAATTTGTAATATCTTGATGTAGATTGTCCAAACCTAAATAATACATTTCGCTTTATACAACACCTGAATAAATTCCCGTCATCTGATTGGTGGATCACATGTCATTGAATTATTTGTACATTGAATTATTGCTGCGCGTGGTGCGCAGCACACAGTGCAATGGAAGTTCTATTGCACAGTGAATAGAACTTCCATTGTACGGTGTCACTGCTGCTGGTGGTGGCGCTGTTTTAAATGGAGTTAAATTGAATAAAATTGTTCTCAACCTGTTGAGCAGGTTGCAATATTAATATAAATATGATGAACTTGTCGAACTTTTAAACAGTTTTTAGCCTGAATAAATTGGCTATTAAAAGTCAACCAATCAGATGGCAAGGATTTATTCAGGTGTTATATAAAACAAATAATGAATGTTTCACGTTCGTGCAATGGAAAGAAGAATTTCATTCGGTGACATGAAATGTTCCATTCCACTCGGCTTCGCCTCGTGGAATGGAACATTTCATCTGTCACCTCATGAAATTATTCTTACCATTGCACTCTCAAACATTCATTATTTGTATAATAATTCGACCATGGTATAGGGCACAGCCTTGTATGTACACGTAACTTCAGTTTGAAAGCCTTTTTTTCTCTTGTGTTTTCCTCTTTTATAGGGTTACCGTTACTGGTCCGGCATTGGGGTGACTCAACATTGTGAGACTGCACTGACATACTACAGGAAAGTTGCCAATACAGGTGAGTCTAAAGCCTAGCATGTGATTCCGTATCTTAGAGCTCTTAACTGTTGAAAACAGTCACTTGATTGATTTTGACTGAAAAGACAACTTTGCACAGAATGTATGTTTGCATAGAAGGGTTAATGCATACTGAAGACAACAACACATGTGATGCATCCATGGTATTTATTTGTGTACCATGTACCACTTTTTGCGCAACACTAAGATGCGCAAATTGATGCTAATGTGACCTCATTTAACAGCAAAAATCAGACCATACTGTGATGGGGAGAACTTTGTGCCCATTGCCTTCAAAACTGTTATGAGATACATTGTCTATATTGTTGTACCAAGTAACTGATGAGTTGTTCAAAGAATTTCCTTGGTTTCTGTTTAATAATGGCCTTCCTGCTTATAATATGTATAACATTATGAGAGTTTCAATTGTCACATTGTGCAGCAGTGTCGCAGCTAAATAGTTTACAGTTTAATAACAGACAACATAGCTCAGTAGAAGATGATTTTTACTCAACTGCACTACGGTTGAAAACATCGTCTATATTAGCCTTAACTCTTCATTTTTGCTTCGTATTCTTTTTTTTTTAAATGAACGTGTAGTTGCAGACCAAGTATCCCACAGCGGTGGATCATTGGTGCAGCGGATTCGACTGTATGATGAAGATGAGAGTACAGGATCCCATGGAAGTGTGTTGGATGAGGACCTGATTCAGTATTACCAGTTCCTGGCAGACAAGGGGGACACCCAGGCCCAGGTAATACCATAACTTATGAGATTGCCCAAGCCTTGGCTTTACTCCAGCTTAGGCTTCAGGCTCCGGTTTCATAATTTTAGGGCCTGGACATGGGAGACAGAGGCTCAGTATTAGGTATGAGTATTTGATATGAGCACTACAAACAAACAAACTTTTCATTTTATTTCATCATGATAGACTTTTCATTTACTTCATTCAAACCTTGGAATGTCAGTTTGAAATGGGGGTAAAATGCTCTGCAAGAAATTGGTTAATCTGCAAGAATTGGTTTGGGTCATCACAGTGTAAAATGGACTTGAAATGCTCTATACTGGACGTTTACAATGCAAATGATGTGCAAGACAGTTTCGAATAATGCGAATGATGTCATATTCGTTGTTACATATATTGACATGCGTTCTGTTTCAAGTGATGTGAATGATGTCATATTTGTTGTTACATATTTTGACATGCGTTCTGTTTTGAATGATGCGATTGATGTCATATTCGTTGTTACATATTTTGACATGCGTTCTGTTTCAAGTGATGTGAATGATGTCATATTTGTTGTTACATATTTTGACATGCGTTCTGTTTCGAATGATGCGATTGATGTCATATTCGTTGTTACATATTTTGACATTCGTTCTGTTTCAAGTGATGTGAATGATGTCATATTTGTTGTTACATATTTTGACATGCGTTCTGTTTCGAATGATGCGATTGATGTCATATTCGTTGTTACATATTTTGACATGCGTTCTGTTTCAAGTGATGTGAATGATGTCATATTCGTTGTTACATATTTTGACATGCGTTCTGTTTCGAATGATGTGAATAATGTCATATTCGTTGTTACACGTTTTGACATGCGTTCTGTTTCGAATGATGTGAATAATGTCATATTCGTTGTTACATATTTTGACATGCGTACTGTTTCGAATGATGCGAATGATGTCATATTCGTTGTTACATATTTTGACATGCGTTCTGTTTCGAATGATGTGAATAATGTCATATCCGTTGTTACATGTTTTGACATGCGTTCTGTTTCGAATGATGTGAATAATGTCATATTCGTTGTTACATGTTTTGACATGCGTTCTGTTTCGAATGATGTGAATAATGTCATATTCGTTGTTACATATTTGGACATGCGTTCTGTTTCGAATGATGCGAATGATGTCATATTCGTTGTTACATGTTTTGACATGCGTTCTGTTTCGAATGATGTGAATAATGTTATATTCATTGTTACATGTTTTGACATGCGTTCTGTTTCGAATGATGTGAATAATGTCATATTTTGACATGTGTTCATAACAGAATTCAAGACATGACATTGCAGTTTTGATTGTTGTTATCTCTCAGGTTGGGCTTGGCCAGCTGCACTATCAAGGTGGACGTGGTGTACACCAGAACCACATGGTAAATACCACTTTCAAAATTTTCTGTGGTAAATGCAATATTAGAGAAGCATGGTTATTAAAGTTGTTGCAGTCTTATTTGACTGCATGTTCAACTATCTTAAGTTTTAGGAGTTGACATCACCTATTGAACACTTTTGTTCCTTGCCTAAGTAATAGTTTTACTTTAAATTGCAGAGAAACTGAAATTTTGGTATATTCAAAGTACATGTATGAATTTCCTGACTTATTTAAAAGTTACGGGAAAAATGTTACATGTACAAATTTATACAGTGAACCTTTTTAAAATGACCCCAGAAAAATTGAAAAATACATTTTCTTGCAAGCATTAAGTTGGTTATGCAGATTGAGATAATTAGGATTAATCAAATTTCTATTAACCTCACGGAAATTCTTACAAGAAAACATACTGCCCAGTTTTGAGCCGAATGTTCAACACATTTTTGAACTTCTTGACTAAATTTCATAAAAGGACTTGTTAACATGATTTCCATAACAATTTTGTTAAGATAATAGTACCAGTATTCAGCTAATTGAATTTGAAGCTTGTCAACTAAGGAGTTTGGCAACACTCCATCAGAAACTTTGGAAGAAAAGTCCAAGTGTACCGGGTTTAAGAAACTCATAACAATTGAGGCCAGAATTTTGGGATTAGTTGTAGTCATGTTGAATCACATGTTGAATGTGTTTGTTGTGGTCTGACCTAGAGAGTCTCATCCTTGTTCAGCATTTCTTATTGAGGTTCTGTCAGTGCTCTTCAATTTATTTTCTTCAAGCCTTTGAAAGAAGAAAGGGCTCATATTTTGGTTTGCTTTTGCGCACATACGGATCCGCCTTGTGAGTAGACTAGTTCCTGGGGCCGATTTCACGAAACTCTAAGACGCGTCTTAGGAAGGGTTAATCGTCTTAACTCGGGAATCGTCCTAAGATAGATTTCACCAAACTTCAGGCGCGTTCAACACGTCCTAAACTTCCTTAGCAATGCAGCTGGACTCGTCTTAACTTCAGATCGATCTGAGGGTTGTCTTAACTCATTAATGTGTGCGTTAATTTTGATAATAATCTGAACGAAACGGGGAGCAAGAATGACTCTATCGCAAGCTTGTGTAGAAATACCTTGCAAATGAAATTTATTGAGAAGAGTAGTTTTTCTGGTTCGTGTTCTATACATGCGTGCGCGGGAAATTGGTTTTGCACGTTTCTTTTCAACGACTACTTCGTCAAGCGGTAAAAACAAACATGAAACTGCCATCGAATTGGTAGTTTTGATGCGTCTTGTTAAGACCTTCTTTTTTTATGACCTGCTCACATTAAGGAGCACCCCGATGAAAACAAGCAGAATATCCCATAGGGATAGCTAAGTGCTTGTTTCAACAAACCATCCCACAATAAAAAATAAGAAGAGGAACAATATTATTGGACTATGCCTCACTCACTAGAAAGTGAAGAGAGACATGTCTATTAGCATCACACTGCAGTCACATTTACCCTCAACTGATTCTTTACTTAATGCGCTTATTTACTCTACATTTGAAGGACTGCATGCCCTGGTAGTGAAATCGATCTTAGAACACGTCTTAGCTATTAAAGATCAATCTTAGAGCGGGGACTCGTCTTAAGTCCCAAAATGAGTAAGTAGCAAGATAAGAGGAGTTTCGTGAAATCGGCTCCTGGCCCTACATTGATGGTTCTGATAAGGGGCAGGAAACAGTCTACCCTGAGGGAACTGAATTAATGTCGGGCCGCAAATACTTCGTGATTATTAAAGTAATTGTTCCGTAACTCAACTTGGGCCAGGTTTTTTTGGGGGGTGTTTGATGTCTCATTCAAAAGTCAATAACTTTTGCAATCCTGGAAAAATTCCCCAAAGTTTCATTCTTCATTTTCTCCTTACAGAGGGCGTTTGAGTACTTCACACAAGCTGCAGAGGCTGGGGACCCTACTGCACAAGCTTTCCTTGGGAAGGTAAAAACCCTTATAACATAGACTATCAGATCTTCAACTTACCTGGCAGGCTTCTGGTCCATTTTACTGTACTTGTGCAGAAACTTTGTGACTGTTTATGAATTGGCGTAATATTAGCCGACTTGGTTATCAGAACGAATGTAGGAGTTGACGTTTGGCTCTCAGTTCCAAATAACTGGCTTTTTCGCAAACTTGCCAAAAGCCTTATTGTTTGAATTCATCATGACGTTGTCAAAAAAGCAATTGGTCAAAACACATATTGGATGATCTTTGATGACGTCATCAATTTGTTTTTCGGCCATCTTGGATTACAAACACACATTTGCACACGTTCTTGATTGTACGTGCCATTGCATGCAATCATGCATGTCAAATCGGATGTCCACTGTTTTGAGGCAAAATCGGGACCCATTCGGCCCATTTTTTGTTCATCACAACAGTTTTGAGTATGACAATAAATACCAGACGGAGTTTTGGGGCAAAATGTACATGGGTTTTTGAGCAAATGCGTTTGTTTCTGTCTTGAATTCGTGTGGTAGCAGCCTGATGATTGCTCAGCATGTGTAGCCATCGTACACTTACTGGCTTACGCATTTACACTGTCTGTAATCAAAGATGGCTGACCCGTACACGTTACCAAGAATAATGTGAAGGGTCAAAGCGAAGGGTCTATGGGGCAAGATCTAGTTGTCATGAAACTTGGTGGGTACAGAGAACTGTTATTTGTATGCAATATATACATTTTTTGTACTTACAAAATTTGATATTAACTTCAATCAGATGGACCTCAGACTTGGCACAAGGATCACATATAAAAGTAAAGGTGTGCATCACAAGTGACATCATGATGACTTCTTCATGTGTCATGTGATTCAGCTTAAACCCACATTTTTCAGAGTCTTCTAACTTGGTTCTTGGTTCTTGGTTGGTTCTTCTCCTAAATACTCCACGTGGGAGTTTATACAGGAGGCCAGAAACACCGGGTTAAACCCCTTCTCTTAGCGATAAGTGTCACTGGGTTCTTTTACGTGCATTTATACAACACACGGGACCTACGGCTTAACGTCCCATCCAAAGGACGAAGCAATAATGGTTAAGTGCCTTGCTTAAGAGCACAAGTGTCCGCCGGCGGGCTCGAACCCACGTCACTGTTGCCTCTGAAACACCAGAACGTGAGTCCGGTGTTCTTAACCGCTAGGCCATCACACTCCACTAGTAACTAGTAAGCTTCAAGCCTGATTGGGTTGAAACTCTGTCTGCATGTTCATATTAAGAGCTTATAATTTGAGATGATGATGGCTTAACTAGGCAGTCACTTTGACATATTACCCCCCTTAACTATACACCAGGTGCTCAGCAGGCAACTGCGCTACTGGACAGGCTGGTTTGTGCACATTTAGACTAAGATAACTGGTGTGCACCTCACACCATAAGCACACAAACTAATGCACCCAAGTGTGTCTTGCACATATATGTGTCTCATGCCGCATCTACATGCACTGTTTGTGTTATAGTGCTTATACAGTGGAGAGATACATGTATGTTATTGACTAATCGGGATGCAGAATAACATCCAGATTAGTATAGTACACATTGAAAATCCCCTAAGGTTGGGGTTTTTTTTAGATGGAAATAAAATCAGAACCCATGCAGGGTTTCAACGACTTTGTCAATGTTTTTGAACGTCTGTGTGTGAAATCCCAGTGGATCGCTTATATTTTGTGTGTGCTCAGATGTACTCTGAGGGAAGCCGGGTCGTCAAACAGAACAACAAGACTGCCTTCCAGTATTTCAAGAAAGCAGCGGACCAGAACAACCCTGTTGGCCAGAGCGGTCTGGGCCTGATGTACATGTACGGCCACGGAACTAACCAGGTATTCATACAGTTCAGTGTTGTTGTCAAGTCTCTATCTCAAGTAGCATACAGTAGGAATCAAGCCTGAACACCAAGGCTGTCTGTTAATGAGCTCTTTAACCAGTTCGTGTCGGAGGATGTTTTTATATACAGGCACGGCCAGCTGATGGGTTAAGATGTCAAGATTACTTTGAGTCGCCTCAGGGTGACGTCTTATAAACATGCTAATCCCTCGTGCCTTTTGTACACACACACGAAGTCTGTGGAGGCGGACCATGTGTTGATCTTGAATTGGCTGTTGTGCACAGCCTATTGTTGTTTATACAACACCTGAATAAATCCCCATCATCTGATTGGCGGATCTTCCAAAGAGGGGATTTTGATGGAGTTGGGAAGGTTTGGGTTAAGTGAGTAGGATTTTGAGTGATGGGCACAAAGCTGATACATGTGTGCACAAATGAACTTTGTCTCAATGTTCACAACATTACCCATGATAGAAAAGCCCAAGTACTCCGTCCACACTCGCTTATATTCCGTGCAAAATTCCTTCTACATACCCCTCTATTGGAGTATACCGGTACCTGGTGAACACAGCAAAATGACGCAACTTCAACACTGAAGAACACGTTCCTACCTTTTGTAGTTGTCCGGAAATGAAAAAGAAAAAAAGCATAGATGTATTCTCAAAACATTTTCTTACGTTTCACTTGTGCAAAGCAAACTGCAATGAATTTCTTTCACAATATTATGCCAACATGTATCTATGCACGTGCATCTATGGGAAGTGAATTCAGCCACTAGCATACAGCCGTGTGGTAACGAAGGATGATTGCTAAAGGTTACGTAACACTTTATTTTGAATGAAATGCACACAGGCATGTTCATGTTGGCGGGTGAAATCTTTGAAAATGAATTTCTCCCGTATGGAAAACTGTATCTTTATGTAACTTTCAGGGTTTATTTCCCTTGGGTTTATTTCCCCAGTATGTGATAAAATTGTGATATGTTCATTACTTTTTGTTGAAATTAGAAAAATAGGCCTCGCTACGTGCATTTTTGAAAGTTGTAACACATGGCGTTTGCAATATCTGTCAATCTTTTCAAGCCTCACTAATATTAATAAGGTTCCTATCCATTATGGGTGTGCAGTAAAAATCTGGAGAAAAGCCTCCTTCACGAGTTATTAATTGATAAATATCACCCCTTTTGCCGGCCTCCATTGGTCAATACCTAGACCACTGATCTCTAATATACTGACTGGATAGCACTTCGGGCCGTGAGGGTGAAGTCACTTAAACACATATTAACATGAGTAAAATAACACTGTGGGCAAAATGAATAACTACAAACTTGTTTGATGATCCAAAATCGCTTCCTAAACTGTTTCTGTGCTTTCTGTATATGGATTCGTGCCATGTGGGGCTATTGAGGGAGCTTCAAAATGGCCACTGCGTGTGTGCGAGGGCGTCATGGTCTTGCGCACACGCATATGGTCGAAGCGCTATCCAGTCAGTATAATACACATCAGTAACCGAGACCCACGCCAAGTCATGCCAAGTGACGCTTATGAATATGCTAATATGCCCTTTGTCATTGTGTTGCTGGGCAAAAATCGGTCAATCGTAGTGCCTACGGCGCTGTAGGATCTTTGCTGAAAACCATGCACGTGGGTTTTGTCGGAAAAAATCCTCGTCGAATTTTCCTTGGAGATAGTTCAAGATGTAACATTAGCGTTTGCAACAACAGATTAAGCTGAAATATGGAATTTACTTAGATGATATAAGTGCACAACTACTCGTGGAATAATAACTTGGAGATATTCCTAGAAATTAAATACACTATAGATTTGGGGACGTTTTTGAATGATTTCTTCCTGACTTTAGGGTCAAATTTACCAGTAACCAGTATTGACGTTTTGGCATCGATGACGGCGATTTTTTCACTGACATGAATTTTAGAATTTCTTCTTCCGTTATAATTTAACATTTCAATCATACTGAGCATAATTTCTGAGAAACACAACGTTCAAAAGGCCATGTTTTTTGGGGTGCATGAATTTCACTGCTCTGTTATAACGTCGTAATCGTACGTAATCGGATTAACTTTGCTTATCAATGGCCGACGTTTTACCTTCGCAACCACAGGGCTGCATAGGCGCTAAATTATAAATACCTTGGAATCTTGGGTTGTGTATATAGCAATGTATACTCGCTGTGTTTGCACTGTACTGGTGGCTTTATTATGACATCACACATACATGTAGAAACTGGATATTAAGAAAAAAACAAAAATCAGTGGGGGGGGAAGAAGGCTGTATGAATGCATTAGTAAAGTCCCCCTCCTCCCCCCCCCCCCCCCCCCCCAGGTTTGGCAGCATCATGCACTTGTTTATACCTGGAGGGGGTTTGGTCTGTCAGCAAGCCCCCGCCTGTTTTAACACCTAAGTGACTCTGGAAATTAGATTTCTCTTCATCACCTGTTGGCGTTTCCTGAGTGCGTTTACGCCCAAGGCTTTAGTGATGCCGCTTCTGATGTTGCACTCTTGGTGAACTATGATTTCCCCCCCCCCTTTTTTTTCTTTGGCCATGTCTTGCCTTTTGACCAGTTCAAGCACAATCAAACATTTGCACAAAATTCTCATTTGTTACAGTCTACAATAAGCTTTAATTTGTAATTGATATTGTTCTATTTTGAAATGCTCCGTCTAACGAAGGCACCAGCAGGACTTTTAAGCATGTTGGCATTTCCACGGAATTATAAACCTCAATGCTAAAACAAGACCACAAATGAAACAAGTTTATCATTTTGACATGTTTGAAGCTTATCATTATTGAAACATATTTTTTTTAACATTGTTGAACAGTTAAACTGTATTGAGCTGTTACTTTTAACTGAAAAATTAATTTAAAAGTGCACACAATAAATACTAAGGTGTTTCGAGTTGATTTCTGCTACAGCAAAAAAGTTCGATGAATTCTTTCTTTTTTTTAATCATTGTAGTCAGCACCAGTATCTCATACATTTTATCAGAATTAAAATCCACTTCATGATTATGAATTGTTTATGCACACTGTTCAATTGTCCAAAATGTACATCAGACATCGTGGAACTGCCCATATACAAAAATTAAAGTCAGTCTTTTTACATTTATAATTTTTGATAGAATCAAAGTCTTCACAAACACTTAACCTTGTAAACAGATATTTGTGCCTATAGATTTGAAATTTGCCTTGATCAATGCCAAATGAGTGATTTTGGCACTCCTCGTAAGTAGAAGGAAGGGCGGTAAAATCCTGTTTAATTTCTCATGCTTGGAACATGAAAGATTGGTAAAGACATTGTTTCCAAGGTCACGCAAACTACTGTCATAATCATTAGACTTTGGAAGTTTATCTCAATAAAAAAAATTTCAGCGATTTAAAAAAGCTTCACAAACAAGCATTCTATGAAATTCCTACTTAATTCTTTTTCTGTGTACAAGAACGGGAACCGAAGTTACCAGTACGTGGTGTCATATGCGTCTAGCAGATAGTGTAACTTTACCTCTCTATTATTAATGAGAGCTAAGCTAAGCCAATTTCCTGAAACTGCGTAATGCTGTAACCTACTTATCGATTCCCCTTGAACTGTCTTCCCATTCAGGACTACACCAAGGCCTTCCAGTACTTCCAAGCCGCAGCCGACCAGGGCTGGGTGGACGGACAGCTGCAACTCGGCACTATGTATTACAGTAAGAGAAGTTGGCCCAACTTTTTTACATTTCCCTTCTTTCATCAAATAATTTCCTCCTTGCCTCAGCGTGTAGAGTTCTGCAAATAAAATGCCCCAAAATGACAGATCACCCCTCCGCAGCGGCTTGCATTATTCAGTCTTCAGAAGACCTACAGCTGGTTTTTTTTCCCTCGCCATTATTACTTGACAGAGGGGTGTTGTTTATCTTTTACCTTAACATTGATTGCACTTTTTTCTGCATTCAGTACAAGTGCTGTTTGCCCAGAGCATTTCCTGAGTAAGGCAAAACTGTTGAATTCATCTCAACGAAAATTTCAAACAAAATGATCTTCATGAAATAATATCTGGTCATGCCAAGTGTCGAACCAATAGAAACTGTGCAGCTCAAACGCCTTTAAGTAGAATAAGGCTTGTTTTACTCCTCACAAACTTTACACATTGTTTACAAGAAAAGTACAACTCTAAAACACCATTTGTTTTTTGAGAACTGCACTTGAAAAATATTTTAGTGGCCAAAAACAGAACTGTTAAACTAAAACACTTGATGCTTTGGCTTTTTACACGGGCCTCAGTTCATGTTGAACTCAAAACAAAAGTACAATATTATCACAAGACTCCAATTTCAGAAAGATGTGCGTGTCTTGTGGACTGTTTATTTAGACTGTCTCAAACGTTAGGTGTGCGTGAAATTTCATGACAGAAAGTAGCACTCGGCTGCGCACTAGCTTTGATAGTGCATTCCTCCTGTAACATTAACTGCCAATTCACATTCCATATGCATTTTTGTTTTCCTTTTGTTTGTGTGCTTTATCCATTTTGAAATGACACCCTCTCTGCTGAAATGACAGTTTGCATGGCTTTTATCACGTCCTGTGTATTGTGGATTCAGTATGACAGCTGCAGTGAATATTTGTGTCAGATTATGTGTGTGTGTGCTTTACCTTCATTCTTTTCTTTGTGCTTGCAAATTTAAGTTATGCTTTTGGTCGTTAGGGTTTTAAAAGGTCTTGGAAAGCTTGTAGAAAGTGTCATTGAGTCACAAAGTGAAGAATAGACTGATACGTTAAGCCCAGCCCCAAGATGTTTTGACCAATCGCAGCCTAGATTAATGTCTGACATGTGGTCACATGCATTTAACATGCGCAGTGGGAACCTGCAGTGTGGCATTAGAGAGGTGCTCATGGTGTCGACCACGTGCCCAGTGGGCAGGGCTTATTATTGGATCGGTCTGTTACTGCAACGCAGTTGTTCATCTGCCCGTCAGTTCAAGCTTGCTCACAGTATTGTGCGACCTGTGCAACTAGGGAAGATTGATGTGCAAATTGACTAGTCATGGTGTTGGGACTAGTTTATGGGACTACGTGTTTGGGACATTCATGGGGGAAGTTTATTGGAAGATCGATGTACATGTACCTGCTTACTTGTACATTTGTAATTTACGAATCGTTCATTTAAATGGACATTCCATCAAACAGAAGTGTTCCGTAACCCATAAAAACTGGAATAAAACTCCACTGACAAACTGCATGGGTTCAACATGACCAAAAATGCTTACTTAGCATAGTAGTGCTACTTAATAAAGAGAGAATTTCTTAATTACTGTATATATGGCAAATTGTCCCGAGTAGTTGGGGAGTCACTGAACAATTGTTGACTACTGTGATGTGGGATATGTTGTTTCTAACACCTGAGGGGTGCCGAGGGTGCTATGGTCCCTGAGGGGGTTAAAAACGGCAATAACTCTAAAAAGATGAATGGTTGTAACTTACTGTGTGAGAAATAAATTAAACCACTGCGATGTAACCTTTGATAACTGAAGGTTTTGATGTCCTGCCGGACATGAAACTGAGCATTTGATGTTGCAGTTCTCATTGCGCAAAGCTAGCGCGCCGGCAGGTTCCACACGCGCGTAATGAATGTAGTGTGATGTCACCTTATTGTCCAGACATGTTGCTGTCCTAGACCTGTGAAATGACAGTATCCAAGCACACGATAACTATTCCTAACTGGCATTGGGAAAGAAAACTATAGGAAAAAAAAGAATTCTCTCCCATCCTTAGTATTCTATGTTGTTTTCTATTAGTTTCCTTTGTATTTTGGCAACTTTATGTTTGTACACTCCATGTCAGTTAGTGTTTTCTACCTGTAATTCTGTTCTTTGTATTTGGTGCGGTTGCCCTTGTTTCACCTAATAGTCTACAAGGACAACAGCATCAAATAGTGCTTAGAAACGTAGTATTAAGCGCGGTATAAATGTTTGCTATTATTATTATTATTCTCCTTACTTGAATGCATTTAAAAAAAAAAAAGCAGTGAGTGTTTTCCTTCTTTATCAGAGTTGTAGTGAAACTAATACCAGGCCTCACAACAAAGCCTTTAAAACCTATAAAACCTCATATAAAAACCTATAATTCAACTTGGGGCCTATTACAGTTTCAAATTAACCTATACACCTTTAAAAACCTATATTTTTATTCTGCTGTACATTTTAGAAAAAATTCAACAACAACAAATCAAATTTGACCCACAGTTTAGTTTTCATAATGCCAACATAGCCACATTGCCAATATACCTGGGTAAGATTTGTTTGCAAGTGTTTGCATGTGATGATCACTTCACTGTATTTCTGTTACATCATGCTGAAAGTTATACGATTATGCATCCTTAATAAAATATATATAAATGCCAGAGCTATTTTGGAACATAAAAGCCATTAAAAACGTATCTTTTGATTTAAAAAAAAGTATTGAAAAACCTATATTGATGAAGAGGAGCATTGTTGGGTTCTGTTATACACATAATTGCCTTCATGCATTGTACCTTATTTCGGGGGGGGGGGGGGGGAGGAAGGAAAAAAGGAAGAAGTAGGGCAAGTGTTGCTTGAGAGCAGAGATGTTTGTGAAAATCACCTGCCTGCATGGTGTAGAGAGAAGTGGAATATGAACAAGTCTGGGCCAAGGGCAGACACGAAAAAATAGCCGGTAGGGAACATTATTAGAAAAAATCATTTTCTAATTGAATGTTACGCTGTGGGGTGTGGAATTGAAAAAGGCTGGTAAATCTTGGCACTTGCTTTTCTGACTGATGGCTTGTGTGTTTTTTGCTCTGTTTCGTCAGTTCTCTGGCTGATGGCTTGTATTTTTGTCCTTTTTTAGGGGGTGTAAGGGAGGTTAGCTTGTTTTTCTCAAGGTGATATGGCAAGTGTCGCAAGTGGACACATGAGGAGGGTTGGCAATTTGTAACTAATAGCTCGTGCAGGCTTTTGGCAGTGTCGACATGTAGCTCACGTCATGCCTGGATGTGGGAGTCAAAAGTGCCTTGGGGTTGAGAGCTCACATGTCTGACCCGGTAATCCAGGTTGATACATATATTGTTATAAAGCGAACAAATGATACGAGATTGGAGAGGTTTGACTAAACGTACGCATGCCACCAGGTACATACACATGCAAATTTGACATAGTATAATTACCTTTATCTTTAATATGCAGTTTGTACATGTATGTCAACCATGGACATACAGGTACATGTATATGTAAACATAAAAAGGCATGACAATTTCCGATTTGGGATAAACACATCACACAAATATATACACCTGTCTATGAGGGCAACTGATTCTGCAGTATGCAATTTTTGCATGCATTAAAAAGAGATGGAAATACATGTATTGTACAAGTTGAGCAGAAGGTAACTAAATAACATGCAACATCTTTTTCCAATTAGTGTTCATCTTGAAGCCAGTTTTCAACTTAACAGTTGACTTTGTGCAAATGTTATACTGTTCCACAGTCAACCAATTTGGGCGATTCACAATGCAGTGCACCACCAAGAGTTTGCCATGGAGAGTCCATTTTTCAAGTTTACGGTCGACAAAACATGGCTCATTTGAATGAGTGTCAGTAGACAACTTGATCTAATATGTTATGAATTGGAGCATAGCGTCCTGCCGCCTTACAAAAAAACACCATATTGATAATAAGAAAAGAAAAGGGCAAACAGATCCTCGAATCATACGCTTATGAAACTACTAACCGGAAAAACTAACAATTTCAAATGTCCCGCGCTGCGAATTTGTAGACCATCTCCCACAATGCACTGGGAAAAATGAACTCTCCGTGGCAAACTCTTGGTGGCGCACTACATTGTGAATCGCCCGAATTCCACGACCTCGTCTTTTTGCAGTAACACACATTGCATTCAGAAGCCTCAAATATGTACATTCATTGTATTCAACGTAAACTTGAAGCATCCATATCCCCAAACATGTAACAAATCATAAGTCACCTTACAGTGTAGTGTAAAATGAATACCGTTGGGCAGCGTCTACAAATGGGTGTTGACTTTTACCCATGATGCACTGCAGGTTAAGTAAGATTTGCAGCTCAAATGTTAGCTCTATAATTTTGTAAATTTCCCAAATTTTGGAGGGTTTTGAAACGAAAGTGATTTAGGCACCCCGAAACTTGTTTATCATTACATACACTTGGCTGCCGAATATGCAGTCAATCGTTCTTTATAAAGGGCAGATACAACATTTTTCAAACATCAAAAAACATAATGATCAAATTATCACGAAATATGGAATGACAGTCTAAAGCACCCTGTAAAATCGTGGCTCCTGGTGTGCTGACATTTTCAAGAAAAATTGTATTTTTCCAACACTGGTCGGCCAACCAGCATTGGAGAAAACTTGCTTATGTTCAAAAACTGCTCCTAATTTTTCTTTGCAATTGATTACACACCTGTGAAGAGGTACAAGCCTGCCAGACTAATTCTCTGACCTTACAATTCCCCAAAGTCTACAAATTACTCTGTTTCATCTTAAGTGGGGTTAGGGAACCCCAAAACGTGAAACAAGTCAGTTTAACAATATCTGCTCAACATTCTAATCCTCCGAATCCATTTATTTCTGAAAATTGCAGCAAAAGCAAATGAAGTATCTGACACACTTGATTGATATTTGGGGCTGCCATTCTGTCTGTCGGTGGAATTAAAA